TAAATAATAATAACACTTAATAGGTACTTAACAATTATTTAATTTTGCTTAACTAATAGAAAATTAATCTAACAATTTTAAGTAAACACGAGTGTTCTTTAAAAGTGTACTGGCCACTTGGGTTGTTTGCCCCAATTTGATATTTCCCCCTCACAATACGCCGTCTGAAGCACCAGAGAACGTTATCCGGAAGCAATGAATCATCTAATCTTTTCATACTCGTAATATTTTTAAGGTTCAAAATATATGAATCATGATAAATGATGATCACTTTATGCTTTTACCTCAAACCAATGTTTATGTTATGGAATGCTAAATCCACAGATTATACTCGAGGCAACCCAAAGCCTTTTGTAAGTATTTTGTCGATGCACTTGTTTGTGTGTTTATAATTGAATCATACATAAATGAAAATAGTATTTAATTGACTTGATTATAACACTAAACTAATAATAATATTAATTTTATCTGTCTCAAAACTTTCTTGTTAATTTCTAGAAAATGTTCGCAAAAAAACACTACAATTTTAAGAAACTACAAACAACACATTTGAAAAGCCTTATAACGACAACATTCACTAATATGAAGGCGTAATCTTTTTAGGGTGTACATTTTTCATTCATTTAACAAACTACTGGACTTATTATTAAAAAAGTTTATATACGGGTTACGTATCAGTGCAACAGAAATGCACATATTTTATAAAAACTACGAGTGTTTGAGAGCCGAACAGATTTTTTTAAGGATAAAATTTCTAACAAAACTTTCGACTAGAAACAAATTTATTACATTTTACGAGAACTGAATAAGTACGTCATCATAATTTTATTAATGAGAATAAATGTAATTAAATCCTTGATGTACTCCAAATACCATTCTTACCACACGTTTATCAACATCGAGTTATAAACATTGAAATAACAATATTTACAACCTCGGAACTAAAAAGATTGAGGATGTAATATAAATGAAACCAGTCATAATTTTGGTGATTTTTCTCAATTTTATCCTTATACTGAAACTCCTCTAGTAGAACCGTATGGTATAAAAAAAATCTATATTTGTCAAACCAAATATTCTTTTCACGCGAATTTTTCAATAGTTTTTAAAACGACAAGGTAATAAATCATCAAATAATTTGTATCGTATCATGTATCGGTAACATCAAGGTAAGTTTTAAAGCATATTGATCAATCCTTATCTCACCTTCAGTTTTTTAAGTACGACCTCGAAGCTCTAAACCGTCAATGGTCCAGGTCAACATAAGATGGGGGTCTCATTCTTAAAGGTATCTAAAGAGCACAAGGCCGGCCACAGTACGCAAGTGTAGCTTATAATACGTTAAAGAAAAGAAAAAATGTGGGAGGCTGAACTACAAGTTCGTTGCTTTTATTATTTTATATAAATTAATGTTGACTTGAAAAAAAATTTAGTCTATGTATGATTAAGATAAAGCTTTATTTTAAACGACAAAAACTTTTTTTTTAAATTTAGATACAATATTTTTATTTAATCACAAAATAATGTTACAGAAAAATGAAATTATTGTAAATCAATTCATTATAAATGAAGCACTTTAAATATTTGAGCGTACATTTATGGTCATTTACATTTATTATATGTATATACATTTTGAGAGCAAGAATTGATGAGGTTAGATAGATATCCTGATCTATATAGGATCGAACGACATGGGATTTCATCACATGAAGTGCGGCTGTCTGAAGAGGATTTACGCATTGCGACAAAATATTAACGTAAAACTGTTTGCTCATTATCTTATGATAATGGCATGAAACATTACATCGAGAGGAAATCAAGATATAAAAATACGAGATTTTAATAGAAAAAAAGTAAGAATAATGGCTTTATTTATACCATCATGATCATATGCATCAAAAGATAGATATATTAACATAATTAAAGAACTTTTATCGTTTTTCGTACGTGTATTTAAGGGTTTTAAAGGATTTTCCATAAACTATAGTCCTAAACTAAGTTTACACTATCCGACTTTTTCATCGTACGATATAAATGTCATACGATACTTCATTCTGTACATGCAAGCAGCAAGTACAGTTCATGTTAGTGTGATTTAAATCAGGTCCTTTTGTAACGATGATTGCAAGGTCGTATTTGCCGCAGTGTATTTATTAAAAAACATGCATGTTTTATTATACTGAAAAAAATATATATATCAAAGTATTAAAAATAAGTGTATTCTTTACATTTTATTTTTATTTTGTTGATAAATATGTAAGTTACAGATAAAATTACGTTAAAACACGCATTAGAAAAAGTTTCTAGCACAAGTGGTTGTATGTAGTGAGTGCTTGGAGATATAGTTTTTTAATTTCAACTTGCGTACTTTGAAATACAACTGGGATTTGTTGTAATGAGAGATGTGATTATTTATATATTTCTTGTTTTATTTTATGCAAAAAAAAATCAAACAAAGACTATGCGTATTTTTTTAATTACTAGATATAAAACGATTGAAAAATCAAAGTCACCAAATAATGATTTTTTTTCTCTCATTTTACCTGTAACTTGGGGTCGCATCTAATTATTTTGATCCGTATATATTTATAAAGGAATATTACCCTTTATTTTATGCTTCTTCGTTTTATTCTCATTTTCATATAAAAAAATTAAGGCTACGAAAAGGCTCGAGCGCCATTAGTCTGACATCGATCGAGTTTCTTTGTTTCGACACACATTCAATATTAACACAAATAAAAATTTTAATATCAATGAAATGATACAATTTATATATAAATACGAAAGCTTTAAATAAATTGTAATAATTAATATATTTTCGTTTGAAATCATTATATTTTGTGAGCCTTCGTATCTTGTTTTTCAGTCCCACATAACCTATTTTACAGTCAAAACAAATGTTATTCTAGAATTTCTCACATTATTTATTTTTTTTCGTAATACAATGTTGCTTTTGTTTTATAAGACACATGTATGTCAAGGTGAGAGTGTCTAATTAAAAGGATTTAATCCACGTACTGTATATATCACAAAAGACATCGTTATAAAATGTTTTGATAACTGATTTAACTTCCTATATTATATCTATATTGAATGGAATTATACAGGGTGACTGGTGAATTACTATCAATATTTAAGGAGAATACTCGGTACATGATTCTCATTCGAATTATGTAAAAAAAAAAATTATTTTGTCATATATGATCGTCAAATATCACGTCCTCAAGTATCGATAGTAATTCACCAGTCACCATGTATAATTGTTTACGAAAAATTTATATAAATATCAAAAATCATAATTTTACCTTTAGAACATGTTTCATCTACAGACTTTTTCGGACTTCGATCAAATATTTCATAAAAATTATATGTGATTTTTTTAAAACAAATTTACGAGATTTCGTAATAGAGAAGATTTTAGGGACTTAAAAATATATATAGACCTATAAAACCTTTAATCCCTAAAAATATTATACATTATACTATTTGAAAAAAGTAATAAATCTAATATAGGCCAATACTAATGCCAATTATTTAATATGAGCCAAATAACACATATGTATTTATACCCTTGTTTAATATATCCGTGGCATTGTATAAAGGGTGTTCATTCTGTGTACGTAATACCGAGGAGATCTTCTGGCTATTTTCATTGATATATATAAATTCTTTTGCTATAAAATATATGTTTTTTTCTCCAAGAACTAAACTATAGACGATTTTACTAAGAGCAATAATGTTGAAAATATTACTGAGGTGACTCTACACATATAGTAGAAGTAATGATTTTTTGTTTTGTCCAAAATATGTATATAAATACACATATATTATGTCTATATACATATATAATTTATATATATTGTAGTACTAGCGTAGAATCCTATAAATAGTATTATGGAACTACATATACATATATAGGTTACAAATAGATGTATGTATGTATATTTGTTACACTTAATTTTAAAACTCCTGAGAGATTATTATATAATATTGTAGGTTTTGTATTTACTATTCAGTTTTCTTAATAGCCTATTAATCTCCGGGAAAAGTTACGGAAATTAAGTGGTATGTATGTGTATGTTCTATTACATTTAATTAGCTACCAATTTTTTGTATTATTTGACGTCCTTTTACTCGCTAAATATATTTGAATATCGTGAATAAAATTTTCTTTTAAATTGATAGATATTGCTTTTAATTCAAATTTAAAACAAATAAAGATTAAAGTAAAATATTTTGGAGATCTCCACAACATTATTAACCAAATTATTTTATACGACCTTACAAGATTACGCAAGTCCTCGAATCTCTCGTCTTAAAAAATTCGAGCAAGAATTTTTATTGGGTTACAATTCTAAGACAAAACCTTGGCTTGGTTATTTTGTATGAAATATTTTTCGTAATAAAAATCCTTAATTCTTCTTTGTCAAAAAAGTCCAGAATTAGATAACATTCATTCATAAAATCAACAATTCGCTAAATAAAATTCAAATGTAGTTAATTGTCGTAGATGATTGCTACGCCGGGTCTACGAGGCTCTACGCGGCTACGGTTTGTGACAAATGACTTAATATTGACGGACTTGTACAGTGAGCTTGAATAAGGAGTTGAGATAGAAAATGTTAAGTTATGTAATAAACAATGCTTATCATATTTTGAGGTTTACGTAATCACGCGGTGTAAGTCACCTTGGAGCTTTGATAACATAGAAAAAGTCTTACGTACAAATGGAATTACTTAAATAGTACTCTCATACAAATATATGCTTTGAAAATCTTAAAATACTACATTATATCAGTGCTAATAAGCTGCAACATAATGACATGCACGTCAAACTACCATTACCTGATACGTATTCTACAGCTTAATAAGCATTTTTTCCATATCGTTACCTTTACAAGATAAAAAAGATTTTTTATATGAAGGATATCTGTGTAAAGATAAGTTCTAAGGTAGTGTGTGGCGGCGGTAGCCAGCGAGGCGTCCTTGCCTCGTAATAGTCGGGGTCGATAGCGACCAGCGGACAGCCTCCGCGTGTATTATTAACACGCGAGGCCACCACCACCACCACAGCCTGGACAAAGAGCGCGCACTGCGACACCTACCGGCCACCACCTGCCACCCGACTATACGGACCACACTCAGGATACCACTCCGATGATTATCCTTATCCTTTACTAAAGGGCGCGTATCGCGTGCGCTCGTGGGCGCGGTGGGCGCTTGTGGGCGCGTGTGGGCGCGTGTGTCGCGCTCGCGGCGTTCGCTCGGAGCGGGATCGCGCGCGGAGTGTGCTCTCGGTTATGCAACGCGCCGCCACCGTCGCCCGGACGGAAAATCGAACGCGAGGGGCGAGGGACTGCGCGCGCACACACAGCCTACCAGACCTAGGTGGGCGACCTCGCTAGACGAGCTTCTGCGAAACGAACGGCTGTGTGTGTGATCCTTACACACACCACACACACAGACAGACAGGCAGCGACACGTACTGCGCTCTAACGGCGCCTCCCTCTATCCGCAGAAGCGGTAGTTTCAGAAGCGACGCTGAAAGTATGAAACGGGACGCTGCCTCGATAAGATACACCAGAAGATGGAGGGGCGTTGAACAGAAATACTTAAACAAGAAAAACTTACTTGGAAAAATGGAATTCATGACATAGTGATGTAAGACAGAACAGTTTAACTTATCACCACTTGTAGTTTAAAACAAAACGATTATATATATTTTAATATAAATATATAATTATCAAATGATAGTCGAGGTGTATGCTAGTATCGGGCTACATTAAGTCCGTAGGTTCGTGCGTTTATTGAAAAAGATCAATCCTCACCTAACCCAGTTACAGAGGCCGCATTGTTAGCGCCATATCAGAACACTACATGCTCAAATTTCATGTAAATAATTATACCGAATTAAATAAAAATAATATATCTATATAAAATTGTATATGAATATCCGAATTTAAATAGGAATTTATATATGGAAGAGTTTTTTTACCCTTTTTCTTCCAATTCATATCAATTTCAATAAAAGCTATCTGAGTTTTCCTCGTATATTTGTGTCTAAGTTTCTTTCCCCGTCGGAAGGCGTGATATCGGTACGTCAGTGAGTCATGTTCGTTCAATTTCCTTCTCAACCTCCATAGTTTCAGGTATTGAATTTGGGATGATGCTATTTTTAGGCTAATATTCTATTATACACGAAGTTGTACTTTTTCAAAGTATTATAAATTTTGTTATTTAATTCATGTTTTATTTAATAATTTGAACATCAAAATTATATTTTCTTCAGATTTTTGTCATGATTAATTTACCAATACGTTACTCTTTAATTCATTAGGTAATATAAAAGATTATACATACAAAAAAATACCCATATATATATATATATATATATATATATATATATATATATATATATATATATTAAGGAACTTCGTTCGGATTTTTAAAAATAAAATAACAGTAAGACATTTGACAATATGACTATGCGATATTAATTAAAATGAACAAATATAAAAGGTAAATAAAGGAATGAAATGATAACCTGCCAACTCCAGTTAAACAACAATTAAAGTACTTACAGAGTAATATCCTTAAAATAGCCTTAGACTAATTGCTAAACCAATATTAATAGTCGAAAACCCATGAGCGATGTTGCCTCGACGACGGACCACCAGAAAGTGCCGATGTTTCTTTTTGCGCACTGCTTCTATTTTTGTTTCTTTTCCAAGGAGTTCCTAACTCGGCTTCTATTTTGTTTCTTGACCAAGGAGTTTCCTAACTCGGCCTCTCCTGACTCCTGGTCGTCCTCGGCCACATTCTCTCTGTTTTTCAGTAGTAGCCTCGCCTACTGCGCCACCTTCCCGATCTTCGTCTTCAAGGTTTGGCATAAACGATCCGGCCGAAGCACCTTGTCATCCTGAATTTTGAAATAACATCACCATTACTATCGGAAACATTATTGTTTGCATGAGTGTAGTGTCCAAATGTTTTTCAAATAAACAAAGTAATGTAAGCTAAACGGCATCCAAGACAGATAAAGTGAAAATAAAGAAAAAGGTGTGAAATCGACGGTATCCCAACAATTTCACATCCCCACAGTACATTACCATTGTCGGGTGACTCACACCTTTGAAGGGCTACCAACACCATAGAAGTGCAGCTCATGCCAATGCGACTCACGCAATCGGCAACTTCCATCACTGGCGGCTCCCGTCTGTGGCGACTCCCGCCAGTGGCGACTCCCGTCAGTGGCGACCAACGCTGATGGCGGCTGATGCAACTGAGGACAAACGTTAAGGGCGACTAACGCCCGTGCGACTAACGCACCTGACGACACACGTCAAAGGCGACTAACGCCAAGGCGACAAACGCCTATGCGACTAACGCAACTGACGACACACGTCAAAGGCGACTAACGCCAAGGCGACAAACGCCTATGCGACTAACGCAACTGACGACACACGTCAAAGGCGACTAACGCCAAGGCGACAAACGCCTATGCGACTAACGCAAACTGACGACACACGTCAAAGGCGACTAACGCCAAGGCGACAAACGCCAATGCGACTAACGCAAACTGACGACACACGTCAAAGGCGACTAACGCCAAGGCGACAAACGCCAATGCGACTAACGCAAACTGACGACACACGTCAAAGGCGACTAACGCCAAGGCGACAAACGCCAGTGGTGATGAGTAGACTTGCGTCTTGAACTCCCACCCGGCAGCAGGTCAATGAGACGCCTGCGGTGTCTCGAACCTCCACCAGCTGCAGGCCAGCGGGATGTCCCCGTCTCGACAAGTGACGACTCGCGAAACTTGTCACCACTGCTTCTGAGAACAGTCGTTAAAAGAAAATGAGCAAAGTGACAAAACAGTTCAAAAATTTCACCATCGAATACTATAGCACCAGTATCTGGACACCATTCTAAATTCCATGGCATCACACGTTGAGTGGTTGGTTGAGCTGATTTAAGAGCATTACATTACATTGGATTACAATTACAATTTTAAACTGGATGCCAACTAGATTGTGGTGGAAATATTTTAAGGCCCTGACCTTATTTCACTATTGTAATTAATCTCTATTTCATGTACCGCGATCATACACGAATATTACGCGCCCCAATATGAAAAATATGTCGTACTTATAATAACGAATTTTCTCAGGTTGATATTCTACATCATAACTCAGCCGCGTTTTAGCAGTCCTGTTTTTCATTTACATTGACTGGGAATTTAGTTTAGTTTGTTTTAAGTATTGAATATTCTCTGCACATTCGCCATCGCTCCTTTCACATACTAGATTAGGTTTACTCATCGCCTTTCAAATTTATTTATTAGTGAGATACATGCCCAAGCGTCCTCTCATTTTTACTTAGTTATATTTCTTGGTGAGAAATGTTTGAGGACACAGGTATTTTGTCTTTAATATGCTGTATTGTTGTTTATATTTTTTTGTTATACTCCTGTGATCTGTTTTTTTTTTTCTCCAATAAACAAAATAAAATAAAAACAAAATTGCAGACGAGTTCATGTAATAATGTAATTGCAGAGCCTCCTCCTTTCTAGCGCTCGGGCTAACCTGACCACCACTTATATGTCTGTCTAAGTTCTCAAATTCGGTATTCAGAAACGAGTATTTTATTTTAATATTGATCGAAAAAAATAGAATTCTACCTTTACCTTTTTTTAGCATTAAAATTCAGAAGAAGTACTTTGTTGATATAAACGAGCAAGTCATCAGAATCAATGAATTCCCGAAGCATATCATTAATTGATAATAGGTTTGTAAACAATAGATGAGTTTGTCAAACCATATGGCATCTTTCAGTATTCGTAGTTCCCTCCTGACGCGGACGTAACGAAGCCTGTGTAGTGAATACAGTCGTCCCTGATTCTCATTTCATGAAGTCGCCATATCAGGGCCGGTGACGAAGTTATGTCATCCTATACTGTACTGTAGTGGCAGCGGTACACGAGAAAATCCGAGAAAAGTGACAATACAAACATTGGTGATTGCAGATTACTACCTGGCAGAGGAATTTTAATAAAGAGTTTTCGATGGGTGGTACTTGATTAACCTGACTGATCCCCGTGAGTGATATACTGTTGTCGTTACTCTTACATAGATTACTCCAACACGATTCAAAACATCTGTCGTTATTCATGCAGGCTGACGGTACTACTACTAGATCTTAAAATGAAATATTGCTGAACTCAATAGTTACTGTATTGTGAGGAAAGGCAAAGGTTTCGTATTCATTAACGTCTCGTAATGTACGTCATGTACTTGGATTGGCAATAAAGTAATTTAAAAAGGTCAGAAGAAATCAGTGATATGTTGTGATCACCAATATTGATAAATATGTTAATCGGTATGCACTATCAACTGCAGGAACCACATCGATATTTCTCACCAGCTTCGGTTAACATATGCTTACATTTTGGTAGTTAGTTAATCTTGACCTATTCTTGACAAAACATGCGTGCGTCTTCACAGTGTCCTGTACTTTTAATAAATGCGCGTATTAAGACGACTTAGCAGCGGGAGTATAATTTTATTCTGAAAGTTGTTAATGTTGGTTTGTTTATTATTACAATTCGAAGTTCTGCAGATAAATCCTTAACCAATCGTAAACGTTATAATGTACGTCTCACATTCCCAGCGTATGTCGTGTTCATACATGCAAACGAAATGTTAACGGAGTCCAACTTCTGAGGACAGAGAGGTCTTAAATGAGTTTTAAAAATATCCATGTACGACCATTTGTGACCTATGAATTTAGTTATGTTTTGGCGTCGCCTTTTAAATAAGATGCTTCCCGGGAAAAACACACATGATCTTCCACTGTCCACTATCATTGCGCGATCTACCTCTAGACACAATAAATCAATCAGAAGGATCAAAAATTTACACGCAATAATGAAGCGATTTTATGAGTGCGAGATTCTTAAAGGCTTCTGCCACAATGGTAAAATACGAAACTGACATAGTATCACATAGTATCGGGACAGAGAACAGCGAACAGTACCTTGATCGTGAGTCGTAGTCTGAGGGACACCGTTTAAGTTATCTCAACTATTTACGTTTGATGACTCGTTGCCACTATTAACTATGTGATTGTGAACTACAGACACATTTCTTACGACCGATTCAGCGACATTTCCTTATAATTATGTTGTAACTCTACAACACTATTACTAAACTGATCGACAGCTTTGAGTCTTACTAAAATGTTATCCAAATTATCATTCAATGAATCACTACCAAGTAAGTGTGATGCGGGTGAGTGTCGGGAAGCTTTACTGCAGCTTGACTCGTGTCTCGATCTACGACAACTAATAACTAGGGTATCTATGTGGGCTAGATATCAATCCATTTTTCTCATGGCGTCATCTTTTTCTGATTTAGATCGATTACGATTCATTTTCTTAGACATAATTGTCAAAAAGAAAACAAAATACGGTCGACCAAAGAATTTATAAAAAAGAGATCTTTATCCCACTTCTGAATTAAGGAACTTCGTTCGGATTTTTAAAAATAAAATAACAGTAAGACATTTGACAATATGACTATGCGATATTAATTAAAATGAACAAATATAAAAGGTAAATAAAGGAATGAAATGATAACCTGCCAACTCCAGTTAAACAACAATTAAAGTACTTACAGAGTAATATCCTTAAAATAGCCTTAGACTAATTGCTAAACCAATATTAATAGTCGAAAACCCATGAGCGATGTTGCCTCGACGACGGACCACCAGAAAGTGCCGATGTTTCTTTTTGCGCACTGCTTCTATTTTTGTTTCTTTTCCAAGGAGTTCCTAACTCGGCTTCTATTTTGTTTCTTGACCAAGGAGTTTCCTAACTATATATATATATATGTATATATGATATGTTATAAAAAGGCCAATAGTACAAAGTGTGCAACAGTCACAGTCGGCGTGTCACACAGACACACATGACACCGCGTGACACGTGACCTGGTTTATGATGTTATAAATTGAGGACAAGTTGTAAATGTTTATGTTTCGTATTTTATTTATTTCAAGCCTTTTTAGCTCCGCTCGTCTCCGTCAACTTAAAATTCAGGGCATATATCAACAGGACAAGCCATTTATACAGATGGAACAATCAAAATATCTAATTTCTAAATAAATAAAGGAAATATAAAATAACAATACACCAATCAACTCCTAAAATTCTTTATGTTCGTGTTTCGAGCTACTTTGACGTTTTTTATTTGACACGGTTATTAAATATTGAGCGGCTTTAAATATTTGAGTGTTTTCAGTGCGTTTGTACTCGTTAATGTAAGCCTGTGTAACGCTTTTTATGATATAGCGGACAATGGAGTAAACCTTTTTGTATTCACTAAGAAATCGCCGACGGACGTTAAGTTCAGCACTTTAAAAGTTTAACTTTAGCTTTTTGTTCCGTTATGTTGTATTAATATAATGTTGAAAAAAAATGGTAGCAAAAAAAGATTTAAAGAAGACCCAAGTGAAGTTTAAATTCTTCAAATATTTCAAATTTAATTCTATGATTGTAAATCGGTGTGACAATGTTATAATATTAAATATTTTCTTGCTTATTTTACAAAGTATTTTTGCTTCGACTAATATACTATGCAGTATCCAAGTTATTATAAAAGTGAAAACAAATCAACGAAGTGACAAACTTGACAATAGCACGTCGTTCTTTCGCTCGCTATATCACTGAGTAATGTATAACAATTCCACGAGATGGCGCTAAATACAAAACTAAAAGATTGAATACAAAGACTACTTAAAAAGAAATGATTTTAATTTCAGGCAATAAAAAGATTATATTTTTAACTATTGATCGAACGGTGATTACTAATGACATCTTGAATTTATTCTCTAATTAACATTGAAATACATACAGAATATTATAATATTTTCTCAGAAATATAAACATATTTTCCAGTTAAATACTTCAACATCGTATATGTGTAATAGAATTAATAATTATGTGTTTTGACCCAAACTAAAACAACCGACTAATTACTCAAATAAAGTCAACACATCTTAGGGAATCTTGTTAATATTAAAAGTCTTGTAATTTTATGAATAATAGTGATCAATTTACAATAATGGGTATAGATCGAAGGTTATATAATAATAATAGCCTTTACAATACAAAAGCTAAGAGAAAAATCTTTTCGTTGACCACAAACATTTTATTAAGAGACGTTAATGCTTGATAGAAGTTGTTTACATATGATGTACGTGAAATAAACAAGCTCATTATGTCCTTGGGGAGGTCCAAAGACGAATGTTTGTTTTGGACGGTGCCTAAAACAACTATTAGCTTGTTTATTCCCCCGTAAAACTTACACCGTACATGTTTCAGAGTGACAACACCTTAAAGACAGACCGTTTGAGAATGAGAATAACCATCATTGTTTTTTTGACTAACTTTTAGTTGTAACTTAATTTTAATTTTTATCTTAATATTAGCTACAATAAAACGGATTTTTTTCTAATTCTTCATTTATCGTTAACGTTAGTATTTACTGTCATTATATGTATATATTTTAATTAATTTTTAAATCATTAAACAATTCTTAGTGATCAAAGGAAGTTGACAAAGTTTAAATTTACAGTATAGAGAAATAGATTTATCTATTTTTTTTAATAGACTAGGAATTAATTAATTGTTTATTAAACTGAGACATACCATAATAGCTCAATGCGATTCTGCCTTTGAGAGTGTTTTGAATCGCTGGTTCACTAATTAGCTAACATAATCAGACCACTGCTTTATTTTAAACCATGACTTTGTTATCGGTTATCGTTGGTTTTGAACCACCATGAGAAATTTGTAAAACAGTAGAAGAAGAACATCGAAAAGACTAAGACTGTTTTGCTAAGTAACAACCTGTTCCCGCTGTATTCTCTCCGCAACAGCTAGACTCTAAAAACTTTGAATTGTTGATCCTGGAGATAAAAATATATTCGACATCGTAACATTTTTAATATTTGATAAAAATAACAACATTATAAATATTAGCTTCACAAGTGTCAAATGTGCACTCACTCACTCACTATTCATGTGCTCTCACACAAATGCAAGCTCAGTCTAACGGACTATACATAATAATTTAAAGATTATTTTTTTTTATTTGTTCATAAATATTAATTTATTAGTAATTAAAACGATCGACATACTTAATACCTGGTAATATCAAGAATGTTAATACGAACTGATTATTATTTAACTTATTCTTCTAATTGTTTGCTAAACATTTATTACATTAATTTTATAACCCAGTTGTAGTTAATATAACTATACTAGTTTTCGTTTGAGGTTTCTTAAAATCACCAGGAACGTTCCTAAACAGATGAGATCAGGTCAACACATAACTATGGTGTTTAAAAATTAATAAGTCAGTAATCAAAAAAGTTTTATTGTCATAAAGAATAAAATAATACTGAAGGTTTATAGAAAATAAGGTACAGGTATTCTAAAAAAAAAGTAATGAGGATACAAACAAAGTAGTGAAAAAATCTAGATCACATAAAAAAAACACCTGAAAATTAGAACCATAAGTTTCAATTAACCATTAAGACAATCATTGATTTTACAATTACATAAATGAGCATATCCATTATTTTTGACACTAAATATTTTATAAATACATATATTTTTTAGGTTTAGTGTTCTATGTTCTCCACAACAGTAATAATATCTTTTAATAATTCTGAAAATCAATTTCTGTCATAATATGCAACCAGCACCAATAAATTTCTGTATTCTCAATAAATTAAAAGCAAAATACATATTGTGTTAACTACAATGGCTTTGTGACCACATAAACATACACAATCTTATTACAACTCATCCCAACATTGTCTAAAAATACAATCATGGGTCATATTAACTTTGTTAAAATAATAAATCCATATTACATTGCATATTTGGATTACAATGGTAAAGTTAACATATAAAATACAAACAATAGTTTATACATTAATACATTTTTGATATCCATTTCTGAATTTTAGCATCATAAGAATATGAGAATATATCGTAATATTTATTAGAATCACTTTTTTGGTACTTCAAATTGTTTTACACTCAACATACATCATAACCAAATCCTTATCTCTCCTTCTCTCTTAGAAGCTTTTCCTTATAGATTTCTGTACTGTCAAATGTCAATATTATACTGAACTATGTAAAAATAGATTTGTGAATGAACAAGGTCGCGGCTAGACACTAAGAACTTTGATACCGCTGAGATCGTTCACCGCGGGGTAAATTGTTTTCCGGTGTTATTCTTATTGTTTATTGCCAATGGATTATTTTTTTAGTTTTCTACTTTTTTTTACCAGCATTCTCCATCACATTCAATATCGATTCAAGGTGGCAACATTTCTGAAACCACACCAATCAATTCCAATAGAGACAGAGAAATAACTACAGGTCCAAGGATTGGCATAAGACCAACAACAGAGAGTCAAATGAAAGAACATGATCAGGAAGAAGTTTGGAATTATGAAATTCAGCCGTTAGGCCGACAAAGTTTTAGTAGCGAAACAAATTTCATACATATTGAAAATATACCAGAAAATGCAGATGTGTATACTGTATTTCGTCTTTTGGTTGATGACAGCGTAATAGACTTGATGATAGAACAGACCAATATATACGCTGAGCAACTAATCGCTGTTAATCCTGGTGGTCGTATGAATCGCTGGAAACCAGTAAACAAGGAAGATATGGAGAAGTTTTTGGGCATTTACTTAGTGACTGGTATTTTTTTTTTTTTTTTTTTGTTGTCGCTGGAAAAATGCTTTACGCATACCACTCTACCCGGGGTCGGCAGATGTGGTTATGTGGGACTCCTAGGTTTAAGTACCCAGTTTACCCACTAAAAAACCAGCGGAATTACTCCTCGCCACATAAGGTGGAAAGAGGCCGCGGTAACGCTTTCGCCCAGCCCGCGGCCTCCCGGTATGGCTTACCGGTCACGAACCCAAAGTAGTATGGGTTCGCAGAGTCATCCAGAGACGTGCCAGGATGGTACGACACGTCATCCGACTCGAGGACCTTGTTGTAGCGGGATGGCAGACTCCCCGTGTCTGCCATCCCGGGTCCTCCTTAAGGGGGAAGGCGACGGTCGTGAGCGAGCCGCCTACGCCCAACTCTCCTGCGGCGTTCTTGGCTCGACATTGGGTCGTTTTCCCTCTGCCGTTCCGCAGCTTCCTTTTGCACCATGACCGTTTCGCAAAAGGAGAGGACCGCCTGCCACGACCTAGAACTATCGACCATAGATTTAACTACGGTCGATAGAGATAGGTCGTCCCCTATTTTAGCGACGAGGTTCGCTCGTTCGCAGGCCCAGGATGGACACTCTTCAAGGGTGTGTTGTGCTGTGTCTTCAGTACAACCACACCCATGGCATACTGGAGTTGGCTCCCTTCGAGCCACACGCCAAAGGTACCTTCCAAAACATCCATGCCCGGAGAGGACCTGGGTCAGTCGGAAAGTAAGTGTTCCGTGTTCGCGATTTAGCCACTGAAGCAGAATCGGACGAATCGCCTCAACTGTACGGATGCCTGCTTTCGGCTGAGCTAGCCTCGTCATCCACTCCACCGTCATTGCGCCACGCAACTCCTTCCTTTGCGCCTCTACCTCGTTTGGGGTTGGCATTTCTCCACGAGCTTTCCGATCTTCACGCCACCGATATAGGAAAGCGAGGGACCTCGCCTCCAGATCCCATGGCAAAGATCCAGCCAACACGAAAGCAGCTTCCGCGGAGATAGTTTTATAGCCCCGTATCATACGGATAGCTAACACTCTTTGCGCAGCACGTAAATGGGCGATACTCTGGTTTTTTAGCGAATTTGCCCACACCGGTGCTCCGTACATGGCTATAGATTTAACAACACCTAGGTAAAGGCGTCGACATGACGATGTGGGCCCTCTCAGGTTCGGGAGTATACGCCCAAGTGCTGTGGCTGCACCCAGCAATCTCGACCTCAGGAGCTTGAAGTGGGTCTTGAAGGACCAGCGGGAGTCGAGGACAATGCCTAAGTATCGCAATGTCGACTCGATTTTTATTTGGACTCCTCCAATCACTAGCTGAGCCTCTGCCGGAGGTGCCATTCGATAGTGACTGGTATAATAAAATTCCCTACATTAGAATGCTACTGGAAAAAAGATCCTATTTTCTATCATCCGCTGATGCATAACATACAAATGTCCTACAATCGTTTCGTAACAATATTACGTTGCTGGCACTTTGTCGACAACACTGCTGAAAGAGATGCCAACGATCGCTTGTACAAAGTGAAGCCAGTTATAGATATCGTGATGAACAACTGTAGAAAACTTCTATCACCAAATGACTGCGTTGTTTTCGATGAGTCTATGGTTCCTTTTCAAGGGCGACTACTGATTCGTCAGTATAATCCAAATAAGACCCATAAGTACGGACTAAAAATTTACAAGGCTACAACTGACGATGGCTACGTTTGGAAATATAAAGTATATACTGGTCAGGATCCTCAAATATCCAATCTCGATAAACCTGGAAGCGTTGTGGCCGAACTTTGTGAAGATCTTTTAGACACGGGGAGAATGATAATTGCTGATAATTGGTATACAAGTCTACCGTTAGCGAAATATTTACTTCAACGTAAAACAGATCTTTGTGGGACTTTGAGGAAAAATCGAAAAAACTTGCCATTACTGGTAAAGAATAAGAAATTAAACAGGGGAGAGCATATCGCTGCACAGAAGAATAATGTGACGGTCCTAAAATGGAAGGACAAAAGAGATGTCCTAATGATATCCACTTGTCACGCAGATGAGCAAACAATGTCTAATGGCCGAAACCAGCGTCTAAAGCCCAATATGATACTGGAATACAACGATCGAAAGAAAGGTATCGATCTTTCTGACGAGTTAGCAAGTTACTATTCACCGATTCGTAAGACGCTGACATGGTACAAAAAAGTTGCTGTCGACGTGCTATTTGGAGTTGGTATAGTAAATACGGTTTATTTGTACAATAAATTGAACCAGCAAAATAAATGTACTCTTTTGCAAGCACAAATGGATATTGTAAAAAAATTATTGGGTATAAACGTTGTCCAGTCAGCGTCAATACTTACGCCGCTAAGGAGTTCCACTGAAAATACCTCTCAAGGAATTCGAAATGTTTGTCCATCCACGTCACAGATGCAGCATTTCCTCACGGAGCTAGATCGAAAAGATGGAAAAAAGACAAGACGTCGGTGTACCGGGTGCTATGATGAACATCGTCAAAAAGGTGAAACTGCAGCTGCTGCCACCAATAAGGCCAAACGAGTTTCACAAATATGTAATATTTGTACAAAACCATACTGTCTACAGTGTTTCAAAAAAGCTCATAACAACATGTAAAATTTTATTTCATTTGCTTTTTCAAGTACTTTTTTTTTCAAATATCTTATTTTTTTCAATAAATAATTTTCTTTCTCATATTCCGTATTTTTTTCTACCTATCCTATGACGAGTTAGTTATAGAAATAAGCAAAAACAATAAAATGTAGTAAAATCTGTATACAGTCTAAAATGAAAATTATAGATAAAAAAAAAATGTACTTTTTCAGAAAATCGTACATCTCTTCCCCATGTCCCAGCACTTTTTGTGTTCTCTAGGATATGTCCTGTCAAGTTCATGTCAAATAAACGCCGTTCTGCCTACGTCCATAGCTGTAAAAAACCTTAAAATTGTATCAACGAACAGACCACATATGGACTGTGGACTGATAGTGCTTTCCGTCTACAGACCGCATGTGGGCTGTGGACTGTGAACCTGTTAAACCAACGTTACGGACATTAACATCTCCGTACTGGTGACCCCGTAAAAATGAGCAGTGATAGCGGAGAATCAGTTTACTCGCAACCAAGTGCGCGTACACGAATACTGTGCCAAAAACCAGGGCGTGGCTCAACTGTTCTGGAGGCGTCCGACATTTGCCGCGTTGGTGTCCGCATCCCGCCATTTTGGCCTGAAAAACCGGCTATATGGTTTGCCCAGATAGAAGATCAGTTCGCCATTTCTAGAATAACGGAAGACACCACAAAATTCTATTACGTCATCGCTCAACTCGATAACCTCTACGCATCGGAAGTCGAGGATATTATTACGTCATCTCCAGAGTCGAACAAATATGAAAAATTAAAAAGCGAATTAATAAAGCGTTTGTCGGTGTCTAGAGAAAATAAAGTCAAACAATTACTAATGCACGAAGAGCTAGGAGACAGGAAACCTTCGCAGTTCCTCAGACACCTGCAACATTTAGTAGGTCCTGCGGTACCTGAAGATTTTCTGAAAACGATCTGGACCAGCCGATTGCCAAGCTCGATGCAAACAATTATCGCATCGCAGGTATAACCTCAGGCTGATCTCCGGAAGGAATGCGGACGAGGTGCACTGTTGGAGATGTGGGAAGTCTCATAGTGCTAATAAGTGTCGTTATGCGCAATATAGTTGCGATAAATGTCATAAAAAAGGGCATTTAAAAGTAATGTGTGAGGAAGTGCGGAATCGTGCATTTGGGCGCAATAGTTATAATAAATATGTTTTAGACACGAGTGCCTCATATTCGTTTTAGACACCAGTACGATTCGTAACAATAGAACCAGGGGAGCTGGATCTTTTTTGCCTAGTGAAAAGGCAATGAAAAAGAAAAAGAGAGGAGCTTATTCACAGGTCGTATGTGACAAAACCAAGCTGGCTCTCGTTCGCTGGAACGACAATAAGCCTGTCACCCTGATAAGTTCATTTGTTGGATGCACACCTGTGAATAAAATAGAGAGATATTGTAAGGTAGAAAAACGAAAGTTAGATGTTGACTGTCCTCAAATAGAAAGGGGGTACAATAAACATATCGGGGGTGTAGACCTGGGTGATATGTTAATATCTCTTTATAAAATGCCATTCAAGTCTAGAAGATGGTATATAGGTATATTTTGCCAGTTGTTAGATAATAAATAATTCATGGATTTTATATAAAAAAATACTAACGACAGAAAAAATATGTCTTTGAAAATATTTCGGCAAGATCTATATCTAAATTTAACAAAAAAGAACCGGTCTGTACGTTCTCACTCTATCGTTGACAATTCAACAATAAAGAACCCTAAGTTACCCAGGCCCATTAGCCCCATACGTTTGGACAATATTTGCCACTTTCCTAATACAAAAGAAGACATGGGGAGGTGCAGATATTGCCTAAAAAATACTACTGCGTACTGCATGAAATGTAATATAAGACTCTGTTTTGTTACAAGAAAAAAATCTCGTAATTGTTTACTTAATTTTCATACAAAATAATACAAAGTTTTTTGTGAAATGCTAGAAGAGGCTCTATTATATTATAAAAGATATTTCGTTATGTCTTTGTTTTGTTTTGATATAAATAAAAATATTTTGTAAACCGCACTACCTGTTTGAATGTGTACCCTAATTCGATTATGTTCATCACAGTATACATCAGGCAGTTTGGCAAAATACAGGTAGGAAGGCTGCATAGAAGATGGCATCAAACCAGCTTCCCTCACAACGAAACCGAGCTTAATGATCTAACTAAACGCCTGGAAAACGAAATGTTAAGTTACAATAATTCACTTACTAACAACTACTTACATCAGCTAAACACAGATAACAATCTATGGAAAGCAACTAAGAATATGGAAAAACACATCATACAAATTCCGAGAGAGAGAAGAAGACGGAAAAAATTGGCCAAAAGTAACCAACAAAAAGCTGAAAGGTTTGCCAATACCTACGGCTTGTATTTCAACTAGTGTTCCCAGGTGTCCCGATTTTTAAGGGTCTGAGGACGTGTCCCGATTCATGGCTGGTCGGGACGCTAAATGTCCCGATATAGCAAAAAATTATTTAAAAAAATGTATGTGAGCTACATAATTATTACTCGTCACATCACCACTATCACTATGTCAAATTAAAAACGTCGCACATAGCGAAAGAGAGAGAGAGAACGTAATAAGTGTGAAAGAGAGGAGTCGTGATATGCATTGCGATGTCACTCAAACAATCGGTCTCGGTCAATCGTCCGTTTCGTTCACATTTTGAGGTTAGTTTGTGCCTCTTGATTCTTGTGCGTTTTAAATTATAATTAATGCGTTTTAATTTAAAATAATTAGATAATTTAGGCCCCGAGCAATTAATTATTTTATCTAGAAGATCCTTTGCAGGTAAGAACTACGTGAATGTTAATAATAACTTGCTAACTATCGCGGTGCATAATATAATATTATATGTATATATATGATTCGTTTATAAATGCATGATTCGTTTTTAATTCCGTTTACTGATTATATTATGTATATATTAATATAAACCAGATGACTGTGACATTTACATTATTTCTCAACGCGACATGAAATTTATTTAAGCATGGGTGTGTGTGGTTGCTTGCTGGTACCGGATTTCTGATTCAGAAGCAAGAACCGGAAACTGATTCAGAAGCAAGAACCGGTGCTTCAACTTTGACTCCGAAAAAAAAACAAAGAAGAATGTGTTCTTTTCTTGATGTTTGGATGAAAAGTTATTCGTTCATCAAACCCGCTCTTAATAATAAGAATAGGGCGCTTTGTACACTATGCCAAAAAGAGTTTAGCATATCTCATGGTGGCAAAAATGATATAGAAAAGCACCAAAAAAGTAATGAACACCAAAAAAGAGAAAGAAGTGCTAGTTTATCTACATCTCTGAAATTATTTTTGAAAACAGATCAAATGACTACTCAAGAAGAAAAAGTGATTGCCGCTGAAATCACTAAAACTTACCACTCGGTCAAACATTATTTATCATTCGATTCACTAGATTGTGATACAAAACTCGATCATGTTTTGTATAATGATTCTAAAATAGCTGATAAATTGACACTTGGACGAACTAAGGCCAGTGCCATTGCACATAACGTTTTAGGACCAGCATCAATTCAAGAGGCCGTCGAAATTTTGCAAAATGAGACATTTTATAGTGTAGCTACTGATGATTCCAATCATGGTGCCATAAAAATGTTTCCACTGATGGTGAGATTTTACAGCCCAAATACAAATTTGAAAACGTGTGTTCTTGACTTTTATGAAGATGCTAATGAAACTGCATCAGCCATCCACATGAATTTAATAACACGACTGAAAGAGTGCAATATTGATACTAAACACCTTACTACATATTTACTGTGCAGATAATGCACATGTAAACTTTGGCTGCCGAAATTCTGTTTTTCAATTATTGCATCATGATAATGAAAACATTTTATCAGTGGGATGTCCTGCACACATCTTACACAATAGCGTAAAGCATGGGCTGAGTAAGATTAAATTTGATTTAGAGAACTTTATTCTAAAGCTTCATAACCACTTTTCATGTTATGCAAAACGAGTTGATTCTTTGAAAGATTTTTACAATACAATTTTTTAAAATAAAAAATGACTGTTGTGCATGGTACAAATAACGGGTGTCCCATCTAGCGTTTCGAATTTGAACTAACGATAATTTGACATTGGAGACGTCAACTGTCATCGGAGAAGTGTCACATATTTAGTAATAAGTCTGACATTTACGAAATGGGTCGCTATTCGCTTGAGGAAAGCTGGGAAATATTAAAAAATTATTTCCAAAGTGGTGAATCGCCAACGCAAACTGTGCGAAATTTGAAAAAAATATTTGCCAAAAAAGATTTGCCATCGGAGGCATATGTGCGGCAATTTGTGAATCGTGTGCGCGAAACTGGATCACTGTTGGATAAAACAACACGTAAACGTCCATTTCCAGCAAGGTCAACCGAAAACATCGCTGCGGTGGAACAAAGTGTTCGTGAACGGCCATCCACATCGATTCGTCATCGAGCGCAAGAGTTGCACCTTTCTCGGTCAACTACGCACCGAATTTTGCGCAAAGATCTTGCCCTGAAGCCATATAAAGTTCAGTTGGCCCAACAGCTGAAGCCAATTGATCATCCGAAACGTCTACGGTTCGCAAATTGGGCGGAAGATCGTTTGGCCGAAGATGGTGAGTTTTATCGAAAAATCATCTTTTCCGACGAGGCTCATTTTCACCTCGGCGGTTATGTAAATAAACAAAACTGCCGTATATGGGGCACAGAAAACCCGCACGTCGTTGAGGAGAAACCGATACATCCACAACGAGTGACTGTTTGGTGCGGATTTTGGTCCGGCGGCATCATCGGCCCATTTTTTTTTGAAAATGATGAAGGAGCCGCCGTAACCGTCAACGGCGAGCGCTACCGCGCTATGTTAACTGATTGGTTTTTCGGTCAAATGGAAGAGTATGATTTGGACGATATTTGGTTTCAACAGGACGGGGCTACGTGCCATACAGCCCATGCTACGGTCGATGTTTTGCGCCCAATCTTCGAAAATCGCATAATCAGCAAAAATGGTGATGTGAATTGGCCTCCAAGAAGCTGCGATTTAACACCATTGGATTATTACCTTTGGGGAGCGGTCAAAGACGTTTGTTACGCCAACAAGCCAAGCACGATTGATGACTTGAAACATGAAATTGAAGTTGCCATTGCTGCCATAAGGCCGGAAACAATTGAAAATGTACTGAAAAATTGGACTGATCGAATAGGGTACTGCCAAGTAAGCTGTGGTGGACATTTGACCGAGATAATTTTTCACAAATAATGTCATGAATTATGCTTTCAAATAAATGTTTGATCATTGAAATCTATCGAGTCGTTCTTTTTTTATAGCCTTTTTAAATTCGAAATTTTCCGTGAGACACCCTATATGTACTTCAATACATAGAAACCAAATATGATCTCAAGGATAGCAAATTGGAGTTATTTAAACCGTTTTCTCTTCAGGATGATTCATTTACTTACACGTCAATAGTTAACATTATTGAAAATCTGAAAATTGATACGTTTTTCGACATAGATCAAATGTATGAAGAAGTCTGTAAAATCAACGAATTAGTGAAGGCAGCAGTTCAAAACAAGGACTTAACGCCGCTACAAAAATGGCACAACATTTTTAAGGACCATCAAGATTTAATGAATCTTCAAAAATTATTTTCTTTTATGGCTTCAATTCCTGTATCAAACACAAGTACAGAAAGAATATTTTCCCAGGCAAACTTAATTTGGTCGGAAAGGCGAAATCGTTTGACAATCGAGCATGTGAAAGCCGAAATTCAAATTAAAAATAACTTTAATATGACTTGCAACGAATTTTATTACTATGTTATAAAAAACAAGGCTATTTTAAAGGCGGCAAAGTCCAATGAAAAATACAATTTTAATAAAAATAAATGTTTTTTTTTTTTAATACTTCTAATTTGCGTCAATTACACTTGTATGATTTTATTTTATAATTTCTACTAGTCTAGCAAGACTGATTACGTGTTTTATCAGATTAATTATATATTTAATTTCGGTAATATAATACTATACTTGCAATCTCAGTTTAAGAGCAAATAATTAAACCCTTATTTAAAAACACCCTGTTTTTTTTACTGTCCCGATCTACAACCGTAAATCCCGATATTTTTGACCTCATGTACCGATTTAAAACAAATCGGACCTGGCAACACTAATTTCAACCCAATGTTGAACCATCGGCCGCTGCTAAAATAACATGTACTGACAAACTTCCAAAATATGACAAATTAGAAATCACTCACGTCACACCAAAGGACGTTTTGAATATGATTAGCGATCATATCAACTCAAGAAATCGGCTGGTTACGAACTTATAACCGAAGAAATTTTGCAAAATTGTAAAGCGTAAAGCGATTGTTAAACTGTCAATTTTAATAAAAATCGCTTTTCAATTAAAGTATGTACCCGACCTGTGGAAGGTAGCTGAAATTTTTATGATACCAAAACCTGGCAAACCAGACCGTTGAAATCTACAAACCGTTGAAAAAGTCCAAGCAAGAATCAACGAAGTAATCTCCTGGACTAAAAATGGCACATTAGACTGTATGAAAGCAAGTCAATTCACGTTGATTTTACAAATAAGAGACCACAGTATTTTCCTGTATTTATGAATAGTGAACAAGTACCATACGCTAATACAGCCAAATACCTCAGCATTATTTTAGACGCCAAGCTGCGCTGGAAAGCACACGTCAAGAAGAAAAGATCAGAACTAAAGAAACGTTAATTTTTTAAATTTATTAACGGACAAATTTATAGTTCGAAATAGCAATGGCAATAATTCTAATATTAATTTAAGTCGGGCAAAACAGTTACCGGTGATTGTTGTCAATCTGTCAAAGCAAACTTTAGTTAAACAAACCGTTGAGACCCTTTAATAACGCCACTAACTAAAGAAAAAGGAGAAGAAGAGATCCTTAAAAAAGGATTGAATTTTGCACCTGCACTATCAAAATTAGCGTTCGAAGACATTAACTGTAACGTTGAGGAATGTCTTCATGAGAATCAGGTCACGAAAGAAGAAACTGAGGCAATCAGGCAGGACGTATCATAATATGTTCTGCGCCGGAGGAAATTGCCTCGACAAAACATCTCTTGTCAGGAATCACTTGCACTTAAACACCTTCGCAACAATGAAGACCTGACTGTCCTCCTTGCACATAAAGGGAACGCGACCGTAGTAATGGATACGAGTGATTTTGATAGTAAAATAATTGAAATTCTTTCGGATAATTCTGTTTATAAAAAGTTAACAAAGACCCGACAAGTAAAGCTTTAACGGAAACAAAATTATTAATTAATAAATACAGTTCTAAACTTAATCTGGATATCAAATCACTCGTACTATCTTGTGCAAAACCACCGAAATTGTATGGGTTACCTACAATCCATAAACAAGATGTTCCATTACGCCCAATTGTAAGCCAGATTGATTCACCAACTTATAAACTGGCTAAATTCCTTTCAAAGATATTATCAACACTCCGGGGACACACAAAGTCATTTGCTAAGGATTCCTACCAGTCTGTCAATGATATCAAACACCTATGGTATGGTTGAAATTATGGTCAGTAAGCAGGAGGCAAACAAATTAAGAAAAATACCACTTTCTGACAATACTATTTCACGCAGAATAAAGGATATGGCCAAGGATATTCAAGAACAAGTAGTCGAAAAATTAAAGAATAGCCAACATTTTACTTTGCAGTTCGATGAATCTACAGATGTTTCCGACTGTGCACAGTTTGTAGTATTTGTGCGCTTTGAAGCAGATGACAGTATTACGGAAGAAATCTTATTTTGCAAAGCACTTCCTGCAAACACTACTGGCCAGTGTTTCTACGATATGTTTTTAGAAAGCACTTGTAACTACGATATTGATTGGAAAAAATGTATCGCTATTTGTAGCGATGGCGCTAAAGTTTTGACTGGCAAAAATAGCGGACTCATTGCAAAATTAAAATCGATAATGCCAAACATATCCTGGACACACTTTTTTCTTCATCGACAGGCTCTAGCTGCTAAGGTACCTTATGATTTAAATGACGTGCTCAAGGAGGTAATAAAAAATGTGAATTCTATCAAAGGTAAAGCTTTGCAAACCCGGCTATTCAGAATCGTTTGTGAAGATAGACCCCTTAGGGGACGCGACCCACAGATCGAAAAACACTGCTTTACAACAAGCGGGTGTATATAAACTTGATTGTGACTGTGGCTTGTCATACATCGGACAGACAAAGAGAAGCATCGGTACAAGGGTTAAGGAACACATTTCAAACGTCAGGAATAGGCGCGCGTCGAAGTCAGCAGTGTGTGAACATGCATTGGACAAACCAGGCCATTACATTAGATTTGATAAACCACATATCCTCGCTCGTGAAGACAGATATATACCAAGGTTAATCCGCGAGGCTATGGAAATTAAAAAAACACCCCAATTTCAATAGAGAAGATGGCTGGAACCTATCAAACACCTGGGATCCTCTTCTTAAAAATATAAAATCCCATGTCCGTGACCACACCGCAGGACCTCGAGACACCGTGAGCGCATTTTGCCGGCATCCAAAGCGGTACGCAAGACAATTAAGAAATCGATGGCGGTAGGAGATAAAATGACCAGACCAACTGACAGACACTCACATCTTGTCTGCCCGTGATCACGGTTACTGAAAAGTAACCGAAACGTCGGGAGTATGTAGTTTATAACCAAAAATAAAAACGCGAAGTAAAAATCCGAAAATATTAGTTTCATTTAAATGAGTACTCGCGAAGATCTTAGATCTCATCTATCTATAATATAAAAATGAATCGCAAAATGTGTTGGTAAGCGCATAACTCTATAACGCCTGGACAAATTTGGCCAATTCTTTTTTTAAAATGTTCGTTGAAGTCTAAGGATGGTTCTCACGGCGAGAAAAATCGAATAATTGCCGGGAAAACCGTAAAAACAACCCATTTCTTTTTCACATACAAACGTTTTCTAACTAAAACGCAGAATCAATTTGAGCTTTATTGCTATTATATAAAGTTCATATTCAATTACAAACACTCACTGTTATCTAAGAAATGCAGGTGTGTTCCTAACGTCAAAAAGTAAATTTGCACTTTCTTACCGTTATACAAAGTTCAAATTCAATCATATCTATCAAAACTGTGTGCGTGTGTACGTTGGAGCACAGAATACGTCGTCGGAGGATTTAATGTCGCGTTCAGAAACTAAAAAAAAATTATCGCGGACCCGACCAATTGAATAGTCACAAAATATATGTAATAATAACCATCAGATTTGTTTGTCTAAGCGCCAGGTAATCAAACAAAAAACATCGTATATCACAAAGTACAACATTGAAAATAGAACTGTTTTTTTTTTGTTAATAATTATGATTTACATGATTAAAATTACTTACTTTTAAATGCGCGACACATAAGCTGAGCTTGACGTTTGTGTGATTATATTAGTCTATGATAAACTATTGTCTCTGTCTTTAAAGTTCAGTTATTCTTTCAAATTGTTTGCAAACAGTAAATATTTTTATTCGTATAGTTTTGTACGAGAACATATTCAGTTTTACTATTTGAGGCCGGAGTTATAATAAAAAAAAATACCTACATAATTCATTTACCATTTCTTAGTGTAATTTTCATATTGGTTTCCACAGGATAATTTGTACTGTGTTTTTTTCTGAAGTGTTTGTTCAACAAAGTAAGTCAAATTATTATAGTGTTGGAAAGTTTTGATAGACTAATTTGATAATATTACAAAAGAATAGGAATAGAATAATAGTATTTTTTTATTTTCAGTTGAATTTTTGTTTCTAAACATGCCGGCAATTAGATGTACAAACTTAAATCGCAGAACCCGTAGTGCCTCAAGTCAAAGAAATAGAAGAGCAAGTTTAAGTCTAACTGATGAGCAACGTGAAACGCGGAATGAAGTTGAACGGAATCGATGGAACCGAAACCAACAATATAGAAGTGTTGCTTTTAACCCCTATAGAGCTACATTTGATTATAACAAAGAAATGGACTACAGTACTATACATTTTATGCCAATTTTTAAGGTGTCTTGAAAAACATTTACCACTATATTGTGGACAGTTTTCAATTGTAATGGTGTGTCATTTGAAATGGCTTAAAGTATATTTGTAGCTCTGTGAATAACTTTTTGTAGCCAGAAGGAATTGTGTTAAAAACGTTGATGAGGGAAATGGTCACAAAGTATTTTGAGTGCCACTTTGTGGTTTGAACAATTCACTTCAAAATATGTATATGTAATACAGGAATGTTTACCTTTGCAGATTCAAGGACAAATATATCATTGAACTTATTAGTTATCACCAGTGCTGGTCAGTAACTATAAATTTTTCCAAATTAATTTCATGGGCGATTCAGGAAGACAAGTTGATCAGCGTGTACACAACTATTCTGTGAAAAGACCAGTTGTGAAACAGTTCCAATTATTATTCCATCGCCATAACCCATTGGTTGCATCATTCAAGACCGCATTAGATCACATGCCGTCTGATAATCACAAAATTGTTATCAAACACATAAGACGAATTTTAATCCGAAATGCGGCCCCAACTCGCATCGTGCAAGTGATCGAAGAATACAGGGAAGCAAGTCAGAAATACAAGACCCATGCAGAGAGGCTCAAACATAGAGCTGGAAGGAATTTTGAGCCACACAAGACAAGGAAAGCATGTGGGACGGAATCTACAGAGTAATTCGACAAACAGAAAGGAAAATAGAGGACCACCTGCTACAAAAAACGGCAGAATTACTAACCAAAACCTTCTACCCGGACGACTCAGTAGAAACCGACACACCATATCACACAAGGATGAGAAAGACAGCGCAGCCGTCGACACCTACATTGCCTACATATCCGCACCCAGATGACCCCCCTTTCACGCTGGTAGAGCTAGATTCAGTACTCTCAACACTGAACCCAAGAAAAGCTCCCGGCCCGGACATATGTACGGCAGCCATCACAGCGGACAGAGAGGTGTTCCTGACGCTCGCCAACAAATGCATGGCGCTTGCTCACTTCCCAGATCAATGGAAAAAGGCAAGATGGCAATCCACTCGAGGGACATCAACACAATCAACAAAATAACATCAAGACCTTCAGCCCACCAGAATAAATATCTACCACAATACCTAACTTACTTATAAACATCAATATGTCTAATGCAGTCCTAAGCTACAACAATATCTAAATTTATTGTAAAAACTTGAGCTACTATTTTAAGAAAACTTTTGTAAAAATTACATTTATAAGTCTAACAAGGGCATGGACCCTAGAGTTCATGGAGGAATAAATAAAATAAATATTAAAAAACCTGGGAGAGTGCCACACGCAGTAGTAGCTATGTCCAGACACACAAAGGCGTTCATTTAATATTCAGAAAACCATCAAGACGCTCTGCGAAGATTGGTCACAATAGAATCGAGAGCAACCAGTCGACAGATTGAAGAATACAACATCAAGATAGCAATCCACTCGAGGGACATCGACACAATAACATCAAGACCTTCAGCCCACCAGATTTAATACCTAACTTAGTTATCAATGTCAACATGTCTAATGCAGCCCTAACCTGCAACACGATCTATATTTAGTATTGTAAAAACTGAGAGCTATTTTAAAGAAAAACTTATGCCTCGTTTTTAGATAAATGAGCATTGGGGGTCACAGCTTCATAAATATTTACACTAAATGAATGCTTACTAAATAGATAATCAACAGGAATTCAACAAAAGAATAACACCGGAAAACAAAAATAAGAATGCAAGTGTGCACTAAAAACTTGTTCTAACACATTCCCCAGTCCCATAAAGTTATCTCCACATCCTCATAACTATAAATTAAGAAAACCAATAACATTGATATAGATAAAAAATAGTATAAAATTCTTCATCCTATAGTATATAAAACTTAACAACCAACACCTAATACAATTAAATATATGTTCATGTTATAAGGTTGGCAACAATGTCATAATACTATTCAACTGTTGTTCTAATGTATCTCTTAACTTGCCATTGTTTATAACAAGGTCCCATTCATTAAAATCATCTAAATCACACTCCGATGTTGCATCATCAATACCTGCGGCAAATTTATAACCCCTTTGTTCCCTCGTCTCCAAGTCTGCCGTCAATCTAATTGTCTTCAAGGAACTGCAATCTCCATATGTTTCTTTAAACCATTTGATGTCTGTTTTCCGTCTTATGTCACTCACAATCCAAACTGGTTTATCGGCAGCTGTAACATTGAAAATGAAATGATTAAATATAATAATAATTTAAGTATTTACAATAATAACAAAATTTATGAACCAGTAGATAACTGTAATTACTACTGGCTATTAAATTTATATGCAATAACTTCCATTTTTATATAAAAATAAAATAAGTGAAGCTTATAAAAAGATTATCCAGAATTATTGTTAAAAATTTGTTTATCAATGATTATAATCATAATGCATACACAAATGACAAATTTGTATATATTTTCATACATTAAACATGAGTTTTATTATGTGAGTAAATTACCATTTTGACAGGCAGCTCTACAAAAATATCCATAATCCTTATCTCTCATCTCTTCACTCCATTTGATCAATTCTAATCTAAACAACTCTTTGTATTCACCATCACTCAGTAAGTCTTTCAGACTTAAGTTTTTCTCCTTGGCCCAATGACTCTTAATAGGTTGAGATATTTTGATAACTTCACATAAATCATCAAGCCTGAAAATTATTAAAGTTATAGGCAACCATTGGAAATTAAAAAAATACTTATCAAATCAAAGTAAATCTTATACGTACTTCTCTTTTAAATGATCTGTCAAATAATCCTTGCCGCACTTTCTTTTACCACTAAACAGTAGTATCACTTTTGGACTCATTTGAATTCAACGATCGAAAGCAATCTGATATAGGCGAAAATTTATCTCATCTGACACCTTTCGTAACTTTATAGGACGGTTATAGTTTAAACTTGAAGCCTATTTAATGTATTTAAAATTTCATCTACCCGTTATTATAAATGTAATATTTATGTTACTACTTTGTAATAAACAATACTATTCCGAGCTAAGTTATACCAAAGAGTGAAACGTTTCAAGTTAATAAAAGATTGACAACCCGCCAAATAGTATGTATTAAAATGACAATGACATATGACAATATTGTCAGGTATCAATTGTGTGGCTGTCATCAGTATTGAGACCAATATGTTGTTTGTGTGATAAAACCATAATTTTATTGACAAACTGAACTATTTCAAAATATAAATTGAATTATTTAAATGTCATTTGTTCTAAGCAAAAATAAAATTTAATTTGATTTGATATTGTTGCACGACATCTTTAACAATATTTTATTACATTTAAGAGCCACCTGTGCTTGCTTATACGAATGAGTGTTGACAAAACATCTCACTAGATGTCAGTAGTGGGTCTGAATGGATGCTGTATCAATGAAAAATTCAACATGTCTCAAATTATCACAGATGGCACCTGCGATATTATGTTGATCATATTCTGTTAATTATAATATGCTAACATGTAGCGACATGTTTGAAACAAAAGTGAATCGAAGAAATATATTTTATGGAATGAAACCCAAATATTTAAATATATTTTTCTATGATTACATGTTATTTTACTATCTTGTTTCGATAAACGTGCTTTGTTTCTCATAGAAATTGACGTATAAGTTCTCTAGTTTCACAGTTCAAAACATTCTCAGATTTATAAACGGAATGTAATTATTGTTTTAGTTACGATATCAGAATTTAAATAAAAAAAATATAAGGCATTTAAATTGATTAAAATCTATGAAAACTGCTGGCTACAGCGATACCCGTTACTAAGTGAATGAATAAGTAATGTTCTGTAGTTGGATTCGACATGGGATGTATGATATCGCCCACGCCGACTTATTATCTTCACCATAACACATAACTATAAATAAAATCGTGCCGACACGAAAAAAATGGCGTTATTTGAATGCCGGACGATAATTTAAATGTAGCAACAACCGCCTTTAGCTTACAACCTTAATTGACTTAAAAATGCTTATCAATACACGACGCTCGTACGATCATAACAAAACGAACGACCGCTACTAATTACGACCTTATTACCAAAGAATTAAATACAATATCGCATGTAGCGTGACTACACTTGTGTCCTTTAATGGCATATTTAAAGTTGGAAGCACGATGCACGCTCACGACTTTCTGAACGACTCCGGACATGACATTCCACGTTTCGTTGTAGATTAGAATGGGATGGATAGCGAGCCGGCCGAAGAAAAAAACGAGACAAGAGACCCGGGCAGTCCACGTGGACTGACTGATGAGAACACACAGGGGCGACCAATGGGCGACGGCACCGCTAATGTATTTCTCACCTCCGCACTCACACCCGGGCAGCTCGCTAATAAGCGACCCTTCACACGACAATCCACCCTACACATAGGAGATAGGGTTGACATTGGTAAAGCCGGCATGACCGCGATCGTTCTCGAAATGACTTATGGCATCCAGATTACGTCAATATCGCCCGTAAGCCCCCTCAATAAGGCGGATTGTCGCTCGCAAACCGCTCTGCGGCTGTTGAATTTAAAACGATTCCCAAGAACACGGCCGAGTTGGCGAACGTCGGAAGAGGCTGCGGTGCAAACTGCACGCTATCGTCACGCCCCCCCCCCCGCGCCCCCGCTCCGGTCTCCCCCCCCCCCTCGCTCGCCCTATGCAGTACGTGTGTGTACGTCTGTCCCAGTCATCTGTTGTGTTAAGACACGCCGCAGCATGTTGTGATGCTCGCCGTCCGCTACCGCGCTCCGCTCATATATTTCTGTTAGTCATTTGTTTGTTGGACGGCTGTTATGACACATCGATAGGGCTCAAATATTATATATATTAAACATTATAAGAAACTCATTGAGCATCGACGATGTACTAGATTGGAAACATAAATTAAGATACTATTCATTTTAATTGAAAACTATAAAAAAATTGTTATAAGTAGATAATAAAGTGATTCTATTCAAAAGCATCCCTATCATTAGTCGTGTTTATAAGTGTAGGTATGTATAGTTGTAGGTATTTCAGATTGTATGAGAGGAAGGGATCGTTTGCAGGGCCGGAAATATTAGAGGGTCCCCTTTATGTGAGGCGCTAAAGGGCCAGCGTGATACCGGCACCTATTTGCTTATTAAACTTGTTAAACATCGACATCACTTTAAACAGATTTATATGGCACCCTTCGTACATAAAAAATATACATATATTATGAAATTAAATATATTTATTATATACTTTAAAGTTTAATGTATTATTATAGATAAATTTAAATCGTATCAAAATAGATATAACATATTATATATCCTTGTTTCCATTTATGTATATATAAATCAAATGTATATTGCAATTTGCAGGTATATTAACATAACATATATACCTACTTAATATTAATCAATTTAAAAATAACCTTTTAATAATGAGTTTATCAATAAACAATATATTGAATATTCATTAGGAATGTAAAAAAATAATATGGAATAATATGACGGGGAGTGAGACGACCTTAATATTATCTTCAGTTTGATCCGATGGAGCGAGGGATGATGAGATGGAACAGAAGAAAGGGGAGGCTGGGGAGGAATGATCTGTATACTGTAAGGAAGCTCAGGTTAAATGATTACTATATTGTAATTGATTTTAAATCTGAGATAATTTGACTAGTTTTAAAATCAATAATAATATAAAAAGAATACAAGTAAAAAAAATCATTTATTTTTTTACTTTTATTTATTTATGTACCAAACAGAAAAAAATAGTTACAATAAAAGTATTATAAAAGAAATGTGATGTACAAGGATAACTTATCTCTTAAAAGAGATCTCTATAAAAAACATATGTTTATATAAAAGTATTGCAATAATTAGTTTCCTTTAAACCAATAAAACGCGTCAACAAAATAATACTTATCTAATTTAACAGTCAATAATCGGTTTATGTGAGTGGCGACATCACACCCGCGACCCGTCCATCAATATATATCGTGTAATACGTCATACAGGCGATGTGTCGGACAGGCCGCAGCACGCTCGCATTATACAACACAAATAATAAAAAAAAGAAACGGGAATAAATGTTGGAATAAAATACTTTTAATTTCCCCGGGCGCCGCTAATCGGGCAGCGGCAACCGAGGGCGCCAAATCGCCCTTTTTATTTTACTGTATGAACGCAAATCCGGCGGGAAAACGGCGAGGCGAGCGGGGGTGCGGTCACGCGCTCGGAATTAGCACCCTCCCCGCACCCTCGCACCCCCGCACCCTCCGCACCCCGCACCCCTCGCCCGCACTTGACCCGCGAGCCGCGAGGTGTCACCGAGTACGTTACCCACAAAAAATAAGGGAGCGACCCTCCACAGTCGACAGCCGGCTGAGAGTAGCACGGATTGTGTTCTAATTTATCGTTTTATTGTGAACGGTTACTATAATCTGAACGATAACCACTTAACCTACATCACTAACAAACGATCGATATCTAAGTACGCTCCGCTAATAATTTATTATTCATTACAAATAATAATGCTAACCTTCGAATAATCTCCTAACCGGTATCCGGTGGGCGTGCATTCATTAAATGGAAACCGCTAATTGACACGCAGAACAACTAGCGCGGACCGCAGAACACTAACATTACGGCTATATACATACATCAACACACGTAATTATACGAGCTGTAAGTAATGATACAGAACAAACAAACAAACATCTATAAAGATATTACACACAAAATCAAATAAACGAATACCCCATGCCCCATGGAGGGTCCTTTGAATTACAAAAAATATAAGTGAGCGAATATTGAATGTGTAAATCATGGCCGCCCGCCGGAACACGCTGAGACAACAAAACGGAGTTCTGCTGTAACTTAAGACAGCCATTACTCTGACAACTTAGACGAGGTACGCTTTACGCGCCACAGTATACTTAGATACTCTGTTCACAAGATTGGGTTCACATCTACACAGCCAATGTGACATTAACATAGAACAATTAAATTAATTAATACACAAATAAAGTCACCAGTCGAATAACAATATCAATATTATCGATAAATTTGTTTTTATTAGTTCAACATCAATTAAATAATGTCAGAAATAAGGAAACTGTTGTATGTAAATTGTAAACTATTATAACTGGCTGAATCATAAATAACAAGAAACAATTACGACCATAACAACGGAGTGACGTCATTTTTCGAACCCACAGAATTAGTTTCGAGTGGTTAATCTGTAAAAGTTCTAAGAAGGGTTCGTATCCGCTAATGCGTTCGAGCATTGTTCAACGAGCGTGTTAAACATTTGACATTCAATACAGTTTATAACAATAACCTTTTTTTTATAATTTAAGTTATATTATTATTTTAATCTGTTAAATATTTTGTAAAAATACGTGTCAATTAAAAAAAAATACAATGACGTTACATATTTTTATAAATAAATATCATATTTGTTGTTCCATTTTTAAAATCGGGCGCCGAATCAATGATGAAAAACAAAAACTTAATTCAAAAAAAGAACCAAAAGAATAAAACGCTAAGTCTCCCGCTTCAGCATATATATGTATTTTTTATGAGCTAATATTCAAATATAATTGCGCATAAATTTTAAAGTAGTTAGATCGATATATCGATAGGTAGGTATGTAATAAAAATAAAATTCATTTATATTTTATGGTTCGTTCGTTTTAAAGTTATTTGTTAGTCGGTTAGTTTACGACAACTCCACCAATAAATGTTTAGCAAACGTCGACTCGGTACTGGGGTAGTGGGTAGACCTACTCCATTATACAATGCGTGGGTGACGAACACTAAATATATGTAATTATATTTTTAACAGCACGTCACAGGTTTAAATTGCGACATTTAGAAAATAAAATAAATAAATAATAAAAAGATAAAAATAAAAAATTATCAACTACAAACGACTCTAGGCTTAAGTCAGATTTATGTAATTCCACAATCATAAATATATTATGGAACGGATAAGATAAATAATTTAACAAAGAAAGAGAATTTAAACAAGTGTTCTTATATAAATAACGAAAATTCCATAGACATAATACAACAGAATTGATTGCTCGAGTTTAAAAACCGTACAGCAAGTCCTTTTGTGTGCGATCTCACACTTGACCGGTTTTTTATAATAAACCGTATGAAAAGGGAACTTCACTCATATCATGTATCGGATAACAGCTAGTATGGACAATAATGTTATAGGAAATAATGAAACATCGCCATAATAAATACTTTTTTTTCACGTATGTAATTTCTTATAAATAAAAGTTTTTGTAATTTTAATTGATGGCAACACTATTCCCATTCCATATAATACTGTTGTTTTTATAATAAACATATATAATGAATCATTAAGTACGAGACATCATTATCAATAAAATGAACATCGGAACAATATAATGAGATCTTGTTATCAACCGGTTTATTTTTATGTTCGAATATTATTAAAAAATATATTTATACATACATAAATATTAATTCTAACTGGCAACATTAGCACATCCTTATGCGAATATAAGTTTAATGAATAAATAAAATGGCGTATAAAATTTGTATTGCATTAAGATAGTGTTTAGTGTATCGTATATAGATTGATACTCAGTGGAAGTACGTGCGGGTATTTCCTGGCTGGGGTCATAAATATTCCGAGTGGTGGGGATGGGCCGGGGGGTATATATAGGGCTCGCGTGTGAATTATTCGTAGTTCAACGCTCTACGTCTTGGAGTGCTATAGTCTTTCTCATTGACCAAGCGTTTTCACCTTATAAATCAATTCAAATTAGTTATTTACATAGATTATATGAGAATATTTAGTTCGTATAAACATAACGACGTATTAAAATAGATAAACTCGACTGGTATCCACTATCCATTAAGAATTAAGATGGTGGGCTTAGCGTTAATGGCTATAAATATTAAATGGTCTGTTATCATATCAGTGTGAGGAGGGCGGGGAGAGATGATATATGATCATGTATGAAATTAAATTAAATTTGTTATTTTTGCTTCTCCCTAACAAAAACTAAATCTTTTAGTTTATCGTAAATGATGTAGAATTAAAGATTTTAATATAAAAAAACTAGTCACAGGAAGAATCTAGATCCAAGCATATTAGGGTATGTAGGTTAATAGTGTCTGAGAGGCGAGTGGGGAGTGACACATACATACATGACGAGGAACTAGTGTCGGGATACGTGAGACTTGATACTATTGACTTTGACACTGGACGGACACACTGGGTGGGTAATTAGGATTGAGGGATAAAATAAGGATGGGGACACACTATACACATACAAATATAGGTATAGTACAGTGTAGACAAAAATAAGTCTTTAAATTACATTGAACTTTAATTATAATAATAAAATATGTACTTATATAAAAATAGTTCGACTAAAATTAGGGGAGAGTCGGATATATCGTACCACTTTTCACTTTAACTCAAATATTTCGACTATAACACGTCTTATAATAATTAATACATATGTAAATAAAATTTCATATTTTAGCTTCCTAAGAAGAAGAGAACAGATCCTTTCGATTATTCTAACATTGTTAAAAATGCTTTTTTACAGAGGCGTGCCATCGGTACGATTTAGCCGACTCGTCGTTTTAATCGTACCACTAAGTCTTTAAATCGTACCATGGGTGTTTAAGTCGTACCACTGAATGAAAGATCGTTTCCTCTTATAACTTTTGTTTTTGGCCTTGGATAGTACTTACTATACGTACTTGCGGTAGTACTATAGGTACTTGCAGTTGGTAGTCGGGTAAATCGTATCAGTACAATTTAACCAACTGCAAGTGGTACGATTAAACCAACTAAGGCATTTCTAAAACAAAAGCAAATATCCGGCATAAACTCAAAACTTAGACACGCATCAAAAACCCCCAATAATCTAGTATGCAATTGTGGAATAATAAAAAAAACTGAATAACTATAGCTTACCTTAATTACGAGTTATCTCCTTACGAATGTACGACAATATTTATATTAGTTCCTACAAAAAATGTTTTTCTTTTATTACGTGCACAGTTGTTAACTCACGTCGATTTAAACTAGTGGGTGAAGAGGGATGGTGCAGGGCCAGGATTTGTTGTTGTCAGAGTAGAAAAAAATATTCATTAAATGGGAAATTTAGAAGTGGTACGATTTAAATGCTAGTACGATATAACCAACTCTCCCCTATATTAATATATTTTATAGTGTTTCTGTATGAAAGTCCAACAAACGTTTATAATAATTAGACGCGATCCGGCCGATGTTCCGTATAAACGGTAACACGTGAAGCCGTAAAACATAATACATGTATTGTGCGCGGTCGGTTATAATCTATGGACATGCCTCTTACAGCTTACTGGACCTTTAAACACACACACACACACACACACACACACACACACAGGTATACGAAACATGTGGTATTAAATAATTAAAACTAATTTTTGGTACAATATCTATAAAATTTTATTGATATGTATATAAAGTTATTCTCTTACTTAGATAATTAACAGCTGTTTTTGTGCTATATGTATGTATTTTCAATTTAAACTCATATAAAATTTCTTATTTTATATTAGTAAGTTTAGTTATCGAGTTATGTTGTAACAAACATACATACAGTCGTTAGTGAAACGAGATGTTTTAATCGTTTATCTTAATCTGCTTGTGTAGGTCAAGGTCGGCTTGAATTACTTAATTGTAGAAAATACATACGTTTAACAGATTTATATACATATGTTAGTGGAAATATTTTAATTAATACATTAATGTATGAAAATTTTACTTATTCTATTAAGATTCTTCTATGGAGGAACTCCTGGGCACTGTTCATCCATCAGGTGGTAGCAGTTTATGCAAAATTCTATTCATCATATGAATGATAATATTAAATTTTTCTAATTTATTATTAAGAGGTTAAAATAAAATGTAAATGTATATGACTATGTTTGTTTCTTATAAGTTATACGAAAACTATTAATCGGATTTTAATGAAATTTAACAATAATTTATGGTTCATACATCTGAAATGGATTTGAATATCCACCCCAAATATTTCTTATTTTGTATAGTGTTATGACACATGCAATAGATGGCGCTATTAAATGATTGTCATATAGTTTTAAGATAATAAATTTTTATTTAAGCAAATTCAAGAGTGCTTACCTATAGACGAATAGAATTTTAGGCAAAACTTATACATATAAGTTAATTTTGTCCTAATGCAATATTAATTAAAATTTCTATATTGTTTGTTTAATAAGATTAATATGAGAGCCATCTTGTTTAATAGTAGACGAATTAAATACGTTTTAGGCTAAATATTTGATTTGTTTGTAAATAAAAAGGTTGTGTACGAAAAATGTAGGTCATGTTGTATCTAGATAAAACTAGATAGACTAACAAGATATAGATAAGAGATAGTTACTAGTGATTGATTGTATCAACTATTATCTAGGTATTAACTCTACTAGATCGGTTTATAAAACTTGTGTTTAATTTTTATGGTAAGTTAAATGTTTAAACCAATTGGTTGAGATAATAAGAGGTATGTTAAGGGATGGGAATTCCGTGTAATGACATGTTATTAGTTAATAGGGAATAACAAATATTTGTGGATACGTTTAAGTTAAATAAATGGATGTGACAACCCTAGCATACATTAAGACGATATCGTCTAATGTGATTCTGTGTAGTGGTGACCGGTGACTGGTGGTAGGTGGTGGACGGTCACCTGGTGGCGCTGCAGGTCCACCACTCGATACACATCTGAGACGTTAATAGACTCAGTGTGAGGGCAGAGCGTCCTCATTACCCCCGCAATTAGCGCGCCGTGCTACCGGCCGCGACTACGACGCACCCCGCGCCCAAAACGAATAAAAAGACCTGCCCTCAAAATGGCCGCCGCACAACCCCCCCCCACCCTCCGCCGCGCGCCCCCACACCAGTCGTCACCCCTCAGCCCGCGCGCCGCTTCGTGATTGCATCCCCGCAGCTCTTATAAATATGGCCGTATTCCTCCCGCCTTTACTGATTGCCCGTATACCGCCCGCCCGCACCACCCCCCCGCCCTCACCCCCCGCGACCGCGCCGCCGGCGTCTGAATAGATAAACGACTCCACGTGGACTGCCGCGCTTATAAAAATCACCTCGGCCAATCACGGCCGCCGCGAACGAGGCTCGAGCCAATCGCGGCCGGAGATAGCGTGTAACTCCGCCCTTAATAAGCGATCGAGACGTATGGACCAATCGCGTGAGCGGATCCGGCGGATTCCGCTCGACGGAGACGGAGCGGTCCACGTGGACCGACTCACACACGCACGCGAGTATAATGCCTCGAGTGGAAATAGCTATGACGGCGAAATGTGCGACAGCGAAAAAATAAAATGCGGTCGGTCGGTGCGGCGAGGTGAGGTGAGGCGAGGTGAGGTGAGGTGAGGCGAGGTGAGGAGCGGGTGTAAACAGGGAATATTCGGTGCTGCTCGTTCATTACTATTGAAGGCGAGGCGCTAATGACGAGCCGCGGATCACAGCACCCGTCACAATACAAGGAGAAGACGTTAACATGATCAGGTCACAGCTAACAACTATACGGAACAGACATACAGACGAGATGTAGCAGGAAACAAAAATATTGAAGTAAAAACCTGTCCGAGAGGAAATAAAAGGCATCGCGCTGGAACGAGAGTCGCAGCTGAGATAACTATCGACGTGGGTGTATTGTGTACGGGGACTATAAAGTATGGCCGCTCAGGAGCCGGCGGCGGCGGGAGAATAATACTTACAGGACCGCTACCGACACCGCTACCACTGACAAACATCTCATTAATGATTAAAACATTTATAAGTGAGCCCTGGACTCAATACTTCCCCGGACATGTGACACGAACAATGAGTGACATTCCTTCACGACTCCATACACTCAATGTTTACACTGGCTCTGAATCCACCACTTCCGCCAAACACTCATGCGATAGAGACGTCCACGTAATGCTGTATTGTCTCATACGCGTTAATTGCTTTGACTTTTTTTATTAACGACGATGAAATAAAAATGTACTCTATCTTAATACCAATAAGGTTCATGTCAATGAGCTGTACTTACGACGTTTCGTCACTCAAAGCGGTTGAATAGCTCGGGTTCGATTTTTAAATTCCATTATTCATAGAGGAATTTAAAAAAAAAGGTTTTATACAATTACACAGCAGTAAGGAGGTCGATTATCTAATGTAATAAAGACGTAGGTTCGCGATATTCACCCCATACACTGATGATGACATGAACAGGGAATTAGAATGCAATTAAAATTAATATAGGTACGAGATTTATAAACAATATATTATATAACATATTAAAGTCCGAAGTAAAAGGATACGCTACCAAAACTTTAATTTTTTTTTAATAATTCGGTTTGATCTCATTAAATCATTATAACCGGTGACACGGAGGAAAAATATAACAAGAAACCGAACAAATAAATGGACCATGAATAATTTATGGGCTCTCATATTTACAATATATCGTTAATTGCATACCTACCGACTGATGATAAAAATATGTATAAGAAGCTGATTAAAATATGTTTACATTAAATATATTTATAAAATACACTTAAATATAGTGTCAGTTTGTAGTTAAATGACAAAATTAAAACTAACTAACTAAAAAAACTAAAATTAATACTTTTTAACTTTTAACTACATATAGGTAGGTAAGTATTTATCCAAAAAATCTCATTTCTATTACCGTATTTGGTGATAAAATTATATCTTTATATAGACAAACACACATACTTGAACCAATTATATAGGTATAGTTAAAAATGCCAGCTGATCCTAAAAGACTAATTCAGGAGTTATACACAGATAAACAAACATACTAATCACGCAATAGTAATTAGTGATTACGAAACGGAAACCGATAACATCATGTCGATAATATATTGCGAGACTAGGTTCATACTGTGTAATTACTCCGCTATCGCTCTATGATCGACGGATTTCTTAATATCACCGGATTGAAGAATTTCATTTAATATAAATAACAATTATTGTTTATATCATTCATTCGTTCTTACGTTCGTTCATTCGTTCGTCATTGTAACCCGCCCCTATCACCTATGACTCCTGTTATCTGAGGTCGAACTATCTTTATATTATGGACTTGTTTATAATTTGATATTCATAACATGTTTGTATAATATAATGTACGATGTGGTATCGTTAGAGTGGTAGGTGGTAGGTGGTGGTGATTGTTCATTCTATATACCGATCGACCCCAGGGGATCCATTTTCAGCTATAAACTTAACAGACAACATTGTATTTTAAAGGCGATTATTGTTTAAATGCCAATGTTAGAGAGTTACGAAAATAAATTAATGGAGGTTCAATTTCAATATATGCCGCATCCGTTTTTTTGTCGATCCTTGTTGTGGGCGCGAAAATAAAAAGTCGACAATTAAGTGTACGATAAAAATATATAAGAACTAAACGTTAGGCGAGGGCTCGCCTCGTCTCGGCTTGTTGGCGCGCTAAACGCTACGGAATTAGGGAGTCGATTCATACAAGAAGCTGTATGAATATGAATTAACGAACTATTTTAACGGACGGTTATCCGCTGTTTATAAACGGCTCGTTAATCGATTTCACTTTAAAACTTTGACACTTGACTTTCGATATGTAACCTATCTTTCGGTTTTATTAAGACGTTGTAATGATTTATCAATTTATAACAGACTGTTACTTATTGTGTGTTAACTGTTGGTTTATAATTAGAGGTTTTGTAACTATGTATTTGTTTTATATTGTATGTGTAATGTGATCGCGGCCTTGTTTATGTGATGTTAGTTTCCTTAATGTACCGTATTCGGTTGTGATTCTTGTGTTTCGTACATAAATGTTTATAAATGAACTGTTTTAGAATCAATACTGATCCGCGAATCCTTATTATAATTCATATTTTTGGAACGGAAAGTTTTTCTAACTGTAAAAATGTTTATATACAGAACTATATATTTCTAATTGTATTTTCGTTATAATAAGAAACTGTTATTATAAGCAGATATTAGGTAATCATCTTTAAAGATTCTTAAATCCTCATATCCGAACTATACTGGTTGTTAAATTGTCCCACTATTTAAGTTCGTAGAAAACAATAAAGGTGTATGTACATCTGTCCCCGTTTCCCAGGTAAATATCACGGAAACTTTCGCCAAAGTAGATATCTGTCAAAGTTTGTTCTCTCCGGCGAGTGCCGAGTGCCGACTCATCTATACCGATGTAAGTTTGCTGCGTGACTTGAAACAAAAGAAGCCATCCCATCGATTCACAAACTTGTCTACGTAAGCAGTTACATTTTAACAAAATATATATCATAATATAGGACTTGTGGAACAGTTACCATCCAGACGTCCCGCTGCCCTCCCGAGACGCTAAAGAATCGAGATCCCCAAATAATACGCATCTATCTATTAGAGCGTACAGTTACGATTCGACTGAGTATTCCTCAAACATAAAGATAGTCGACGAAAAATTCGACTCGAGAAAATATGTACGGCAGGAGTCCACGGGTGTCGGGGCGAGGGGAGAGGGGGCCACGACGACGACGAACGGGCCCCCCGCGCCCCTCGTACGGTTAGTTCACTCGCAGCAGTCGAGCGTGTAGGACGTGTTGTGTGATCATTGTTATCGTAACGTAACGTGTGACTCGACGCGATATAGGCGCGTGGTGTTAATAGTGTTATAGTGTTGTGTGTGCTGTGCCCTGGATTCCTCGTGTGCTCCGGACGATGAGCGCGTGTGTTTGACGTGGGAATGTATCCTAGCGCGGGCGCGATGAACGCCGCCGCTGCCGCCGCTGCCGTGGCGGCCGCCAGGCATCCGGTACTAATATAAATCATATCCAAGATAATCAACCCGCCTCCCATTATCGTATATTGTTATGATGAATCGCTTATAGTGTGAAAGCCGAGGGAAAGCGCTGATGTTCCACTCGTGCTTAACGGCTGCCATTATTTGCGTTTGAAACGTGAGATAGTTATTATGATTGGTCTGTGGTGGTAATAAACATATAAATTACCTGTGAGCATTGTTATGATTCCGCATTTAACGTATAATAGGAGATGTTATTGTAAGTTTCTCTTGATCTTGTCTCGGCCCCGTTGTAAAGAAACAAACGAGTCCCCCGCGGTGATAGCGAGTCCGCCGCCGGAATACTGTCAGACACACTGTATTACCTGTGAAATTGACTGTAAAGTATATAATACCCGCCCGGCGGAGTGGCATTTACAAAAATAACTGTAAGTTTACAACTTTACTAGCAGAACAAAAGTTCATAATAGCGGAAACTATTATGTCACAATTATATTCTCAATATGAAGTTCTCAGAAACCGTACGCTTCATTATAGCCAAGCGTATTTCAACTTAATGATGTTGTAAATTAAGTCCATTTCCCCGTCGGTTCTAAATTACTAACAATCCTGTGCTACATCTGTCGTCGCTCCCGTCGGAGTTCGAAATTCGAACGCAATTTAAAGAATCGATTTAAACACGCATTTTCTTTTTTTTTTCTTTAAAGTTAAACATCCGCTGCCAAATTGCCTTTTTATACGAAATGTTTTTTTATTCTATTAACATTTAAACGGCGTAATGTTTTTATTATACAAGTATGCTATATATTTTTTATACGTAGTGTCAATAGTCATATGTATTTGAAATCGCGGGAATAACTTTAATGTTCACCTCACATGATTCTAGTTAGGTGTTTATGTTTAACGGGCAAATGGGAAATTAATGCTTGTTACTGTCATTTGTTACCCATTTGACAGTTACTTGTGGTTTTCAAATAAAAAAAATACTTGCCCAGTTGGTAATAATACAAATTGCACGAGCAATAAACGTTTATTAATCTAACTTTGAATTGTTTTATATACGAAAATATATATTTTTATTGTACGTTTTTTATTGAATTTTCCTATTCGCAATAATATATGAAATTCTATTTTTAAATTATTACATATATATTGTTTATTAATATCAATACGTCGATAATTACAAGTGCTCTCAGTATTTACAACCACAACAATTTGAAGTCCAACTAAAATACTCGTAATTTATAAGGCGCAAAGTTGGTCATTGAGTAAATTCAGTACGATCGCTCGCCTCGAGTGCCTAGTGCTTTAAGTGCTCGTTTTATATATGCACATAATTACACACACAATGTCTGCGGTAGAACAAATTTTAACAGTCTGTAGGTGTTAACGATATAATGTATGACATAAGGATCTTACTCCACACTTTTACGACACCAGCTCTTGACTTTTACAAGCTTCGAAGGGGGACGCTGGAGAGGGGGAGGGGGGGAATGTAAATGCCTATTTTGTATGTTTGCCTAAAATCTGTGTCGCGTCCTAGGCACTCGGCTCTCGGTCAATATTTGATAGACGGAATTACCGCTACGAACAAATGAGATGGCGTCTCGGATACACGTCTCGACAAATACTCTTGTTTGAACACTTTCACGCAAACACTCGAGTTCTGCAAAACAAATAACAAAAATATATATATATAGTCTGATAGAGACGAGATCCGTGAATATTAGTACGTAGGCGTCGAGCAGGTATAGGAAATGTATGTTTTGTACGGGATTACGTGTCAGGGCTGCGATAAGGACGCCTTGAGTCAACGCTCGTCCGAAATAATTCCCCACATCTGTATATCTTAGATAAGTTATCGCACAACAAACACTACATCTAGAGTATGCTAACAGTCGCTCGTCATCTTCGAGACGCCATCAATCGCTCGTATAAAACCTATGTATAAAGTTAAATTGTATTCCGTAACAAATCGTTCGTAGAATGTTATATGTCAAAACAAGGGATTTAGGTCTGAGCGGACCTCTGTCACCGAACACGATGGGCGGTACGACTTCTCAGAAAGTAAAACGAGCTTTCTGATCCCAGCGCTACCATATTAGTTTTACTAGCATTTTTCTACCAACAATGGTACGTCGTAAATATACAAAGCTCTCATCCGTTTGTCGACTCTAATACTATAGTTTTAAGAACTAAAATGGCTCAGCACGGTGTAGTCTGAAAGCAATCTCCGCGTTTAAATATTTGTCTATGCCTGTTTGGTTTGTAAGTGCGAATGGTGTTTAAATGTTTACGGTGCTGCTGAACTTGTGTATATTTTTAGCTGGCATCTAATATTACTAATAAACACTTGACATCGATATACATACATGTTTCACGGAAACTAGATGTGGTAATACAGAAACTAAGTGTTCATATGATTAAAGACACCTTCCATTATAATGTACTCGGATAGGTTTCATTTACGACGTATTATATCTGTTCGAGGAACCTCATAGCACGCTTGTTGGAGTGCGAAGTTACTTTAGACCGCTTCAAATCGCGAGCCATTAAGTTTTTATATCGAGCTAGTCTCGAGCCGGACTCGAGCTCATAATAACTCAGCTAACAACGGATCCCTAATTTCAAAACACACTCGTTCTTCGCGAATCGTAAATAATAAAAAAAGCATCGTCTCGAGTCTCGACAAATTTCTACGTATAAAATTTCGCCTGAATACATTCGGTTCATTGAAATACCAACAAAGGGATCGTCCGTAGTCCGTACAGTGCTCGGCGCGCAGTCCGTACACAGGTAGACGTATTCAATAATATGAAATAAGAACACGTACCTTTTTATATCCGTTTAAACGCATTCTGTAAAGTTTTGTTTTTGTGATGCGGGCCTTTCATCGGCCATACAATACGGCCACTCAAAAACTCTTCATTGTATTTTAATTCGACCTTTACGGCGATAATTTATGGGAATCTTTTTTTAGGGGAGCGTTTACTCGGCCTATTATTGTCGGAGTTTTTTTGGGGTTATCAAATAATCGCCTATTAAGAAGCTAACCATTAGACGGATTTGGATTTCTTGGTGTTCTGGGATACAATTCAATTCTATGTGTTCTGTAGTCGGTATAAAATTATTTATAAATGACCAAATGGTGTAGTATTACATTCGATACTAACAATATAATTGCGGTTCACCGGATTTAATATAAACGTTTATCAAACTGTTATATCACTAGCTTTTAGTTTTTATTCAATGTTATTTTTTGTATGAAATATGTGTATGATTGTTTTGTGTAATAACATCGGCTCCATTATAATTTCTAGTTAATTGGTTTAATGTCTTCACAGAGTTCGTAATGTCCATAAAAACTCCGTACGCAAGGAGCCCCAGTAATTTTAATGCTAAACACATTTTTAATTATACGAACGATAAATATAAAAACTTTATTATTTATTTTTTATTCGGATGAACAATAAAATGCAGGAATGTCAGCTCCCATGCGTCCATTTGTTTTGTTCCAGTCAGCGTCTAAACGGCTACCGATAGTCATTGTTTTATATGGAATAAAGTTACGTATAAAACACGGTCAGATTTGTAAGTAGCATTTATAATATACGAATTGGTTATTAGCAAAAACATTCGCGGATGTATTGAATATTTTTTTGTTCGTTGATAGTAATGAGCGCTAAGTCCAGATCACTCGGCCGTGTGAGTAGTGTCTGTGTGTCTGTCCGCGCTACATCATGAACCGCCTCCCCAGCCGATGGTCCGGGCTCCATGTACAAGGTGTACACGCCGCGCCAGTTCCTTTTCGTTTTTATTTACGCTCCTTTTATTATTTTTAAAGGCCGTTTGTTCCTCGCGCCGTCGAGAGCCTGTTATTTATTTTTTGCCGCCCGGCCTCCCGGCCTCCCGGCGGCCGTGTGTTGTCCCTCGCTTTATTTTTATTTCCCCCGCTTCTTATTATGGAGTCGCTTTTTGTTTTTTGTTTTATTCTTTATTATTAGGTGCTCGCATGTTCACGTTATTTCTGTGTTAAGATGCGAGTCCTCCTTTTTTTATTAATCGCGCCTCCGACTGGGTCGCGGTCATTAAAGTATAATTTGTATTATGGTAATTTGGGATGCGTGTAATTTTTGTTTTGTGATACTCGTTGTTTTTTATTCGTTAAGATTGATGTGGTGGCGCGTGTGACGTGCCTCTTATATTTGAATGTTAATACTTATTTGTTTGTGTGCAGGGCCCCCCGCAGCCCGGGCAGCCCATCAAGTTCACGGTGGGCGAGTCATGTGACAGGATTAAGGAGGAATTTAATTTCTTACAAGCTCAATATCATAAGTAAGTATTTAATCATATTATTGACGCAAATTATATTTAAAACGATAAATTATGATTAGAAACGATATATAATTGGTGTTATAAGGATTTGTATCAAATGATTATGTTATCAAACAAAAAGACGTAAACAATTTAAGATGATAAAACCTATAATGAAATTTAATTATCGATATAAAATGTAGCCACTAGACAAATAAATCTCGTCACTAATGCGTCGAGTTTAAAAAATAGAAGTAAATCGGCTAAGAGGGTCCGTTAGGGATTTCTTGATGTCAGATATAAGTTATACCGTTTGTTAGTAAGTAGTCAGTCCTTTGTGTTCCTTTGTTAACCTAAAAAATGACAATCAGGCAAAAAATACATCCGAACAGATAAACATCGACGAATACATTATATTAACATATTTTTTGTTTAACAAAATATACATAATTTTAATGCCATATATGGAGTGTAGCTGCAGTGGAGCGTCGATAAAACTGAACAAGCCAGAACTATTGCTAATGAATATCGATTATTATAGATAACGCTAAAAAAACAAGTTACTTGTTGTTACAGCTTATCATGTTCATGAGTGCTCTTTAAACATGTCCGATTTGTGTGGCTCACACAACGAATTCATCGACGACTTACAAAAAAAAAAAAAAAATATATTAAAACCTTTTTTTTTGTTGCAGTTTAAAATTAGAATGCGAGAAACTGGCTAGTGAAAAAATTGAAATACAGAGGCATTATGTTATGGTGAGTATTCTATCAAATGTTTTATTATGATTATGTTTTGATGACGTATAACGTGTGACAAGTGGACCGCCTGTCTGAATTACACGCGCTCAGACTATCATTAAATACTATATAAATAATACTAATTTACACCAACACTGGCAACATCTATCTCGTTCCATTTTCAAATGTATTTTAATATTTAACGCACACTAACAGTATCAGCGTTTTTTTAGCGACTTATTAGAAATAATCGTCGCGATAATTCAACAGAGCGAATAGATATTTGGCAGTCCCTAATTCCCGCACGGTCGTACCGTAGCGATATGAATCACGATTAAGTGTTGCCAAATCGCTCGCAATTTATTTTAATACGCTCCAGAGGAAATTTTCGCGAGGGTTTTTATGTGTCGGGAACACTTCTGGCTGCGGTCCAGAATGTGCCATTGCGGATGTTTAGTCACTCGCCTCAAATGATTCGAGGAAGCTAATCCCTGCCAAGAGCTTTCTGTGTCACATAAACATTGTAACACGCTAATGTAATCGATCCTATTAATGTTTCTCCTTTGTTTTCCAGTACTATGAAATGTCGTACGGGCTCAACGTGGAAATGCACAAACAGGTATGTGGTCTTATATTCATTAATTAACAGTTTTGAAACTTATTTTAAATACTATACAATGAGATATATCGTAAATGTTTCCACGGTCCGCGCGGCCGGCCGTCTCACCGAACGTATTACGGAAGTGAAAAATAGCGATATTTTATTAGCAGTGAAGCAAAGTGGCGCACGGGGAAAATGAATGTTGTAAAATTGAAAAAATAAAACAGTTATTGCGCTCCTGTTTGTTGGGTAAACGTTGTTTGACAGCGTGGCCGCAGCCCTCGCCGGGGGGGATAGGGGGTTCGGGAGGAGGGAGGGGGGGGGGGTCGAAGTATGGTCAAGCCGAGTTCTTGTTTACATTTCGCTTTTTAATTTATAGCCTTCTTTGTTCACGGGGCGTCGTGCTATGAGATTTGCGAGCCTTTCACTAATATTGACAAAGGTAAAAAAAAAAAACACTTCCAACAATGGCAGTGTTTTGATCCGCGTTTACCTCATTGCTAGCGATTTATTGAAACCGGGATTATTTGGGGAGAGAATATTACGTACGTACTCCCCTATTGTGTGCTATTGAAACTGAAATATCTTCCACTTACCGATACTTGGATAGTTGAAATTGTTAAGCGTAGGGTTACAAAAACTTAATATTAACGGTTCGTTTAACTGAAAAAAAAAACGGATTACAAATATTCTTAAAAAATTCATAAAACTTGATTGTTTTGAATAGAAAACTAATGTTTATATTATACACAAAAACGCAAAGCTAATATAAATATATGGACAATTAAATATTGTTGCCAGCCCTATGTGTGAGTTCAATTCATAAATTTAATTCAACAATAGTGTACTTGACAACCCTAACCGCAGGGCATCAATAGCTATGGTAACGAATAGTTATTACTTTTATGTAGCAGGGGTCCGTGTCCGCTGGCGGGGGTTCCCCGGTAATCTGTTGATTTTACGCTCGCATACCCCTCGATACAACCCCTATCCTACATTATTAATAATACCCGATAACATGTGATTTGAACCAAAACAATATCAATTTATAACGGACTGAATGTTCCTTCTTTAATTTATTTCAATCATTGGCACACACAGATTAATTTTTTTTTGTTTATCTGTGTCAAATCTTAACAGATTATAGCTTAAATATAGTATGTCCAAGTTTATAGTGTAAATATATTTATATAAAAACATATATAGGTACTACGTATATAATATATGTAATTATATATAAAATAATAAGTTTATTCATAAACGATTCAAATTTGGTACGTCACAGAACTGTTTGTTTAGGGTCTGGCAAACTAGCAACAGGGGTGATTTGGTTTAGGGAAGGGTCGCATTGTGTCGCTGCGGCTGACAGATGGCTCGTAGTCCGCAGCTAGGAACTCGAATCCGCTGTTTAGAGCAGCGCAGCGCTGCGCAGCGCTTTATTGTAATGGATTATTACATTAGCACTTAACACGCTCAGTGGACCGTCTACCAGAATACCCCTTCGACGTGTTCAGATTATAATCGTTATAACAACTCTAACTAATGTTACTCACTTTTTGTCGTACATTATTATTTTTATGCTCGGATTGCGTGACGGCTGACGATCTATCGCTTAATATGAGATGAAGTATTCGATATTGGAGCGTATTTTTTTTAACGTAATACAGTCCAAGGTCTCGTTACATACAAGTGAACATTGTAATGTAAGTCAATAAGTTCGTATCGGTCCGCTCCGTGGTGACCGTGACCGCGTCCAACGCGCGTGTTCCGCTCTTACCTGCGACGACTAATTGCTTATATTTTTCGTTAGTCGCGCGGCCGCAGTCAGACCGTGCCGAATCACGCCTACTTACGTCTTGAATTGATTGTATCCTCACTGTGGCCGTATCGACACCGAGCCGTATTGTTCTCGGACCCGCCATTATTCACGCTCGAACGGAACGGGAATATATATTATTATAATGATTTCCGTATATTAACATATTACATTAACAACCGTGTCGCATTATAAGGTTCTTTAACTCGCATTGTTTCTAACGCGGGCGATATGTTAATGTCTTGTGTTTGTGACGGTTTCGAACAGTAAAATATGAAGTAGCACTCTGTTCGAGCACTAAACTGTAGTTCATAGTTGAAGAGCAATAAATTTATAACGCCGGAGTGATTTCATGAAGTGTCACGGGTGTCGACTGTCGACGTCGGAACAATAGGGTTGTACGCGCGAGCTCCTCGACGGTTCACAGGACATCGATAAAATACTCGGTCGTGTTTACGATCGCCACCCCTATGTCACGGTCCAGCGGGCACATTCTCACGGCTCTATTGTAAAACATTAAACTACGTACATTGAAAGTAAAACGTATTTCTTTTCGTCATTCGTCACAATCCGATCTCGTTAAGCCTCACCGAGTTTCCTGGTCGCTGTGTTAAAATAAAATAAATCTGTTTAATTTAATAATAGCCGCTGTATAGCTAGTCCGCTGCAGTGTGTCCTCACCCTTGTTGATATTATTCATGTGCGGGGGATTGTTTGCCCTCGCATTAGGGTCGGCCGGTCCGCCGGCGCTCGTTGATAAAAACATAGCACGTGCTGAATCCGCTTAGCTTATATTTATAATGAAACAACCGGGGGCTGGGCTAGCCTCCTTAATGCTGTTTACTTTACAATCAACTACTTATTTATGTTTATTATTTATGCTACCTTACACATTTATAATTATTAATAACGTTTCTATTCAAGTTTTTTCATTATTAAAAAGTGTATTAATCAGTATCGTTACTTTACTAAAGAATATATACAAATCACTATAAATTTAAATACTTTTCAGTTTATATATCATATAAATTATTTAAAATCAAAGTGTTAGTCGGCTACATTTGAACGCGATGCTATCAAGAACTCAACAACCCGTTCCATGTTTATCAAATTATAACTGTTGAGTGTTCACAGTTCGCGGAGGGTCGCATTAATTCTCTATCTACATACATCTACGATTCTATCTAAAGCGAGCAACTCACAATGTACACTCCGTCACCCCTAAAGGGGAAATTATCTCTCCATCTATGGAACGACGTCCCAGCCGGCAGATGGCGCTTGCAATAAAACCACTAAACGCGATACCTCTACCCTCTTTATTATTTGATAGGGGAGCCAAATTAAAGGATTTACAGTAACCCCTGGCTGCGACCCTCGCTTCAACAATCACCTCTGTATTAAGTCTAATTGTGTTTTCAAATACGGACCCCCATAATGACGCGGGCGATGGGTTCCATGTGAAAAACATCCGCCAGCCCTATCAATGGACCTTACATCACCGATTAATTAATTACGCTCCTCAAATCCGGTGAAGGAGATAAAACCTAATCACTCCTCCGACTTAATTATACCTTACAAACCTATATTATATTTCAGTATGTATCACTCCTATTTGCGTAGCGTCTCGATAATAACTAATCTATTAATAACATAATCGTAGTCACGACTTTATTCATTTAATACGTGTTACTGAACGGCTAGAGGCGTATATCAGTCTTGTCGTTGGTGACTGGTGACTGGTGAGTGGTGAGCCTTCAAACGACTCCGTAATGAGTCCAATGGAGCTGAATATTTATTTGTAGTCTAGTCTCGTTATTAACGGAGTCGGTGCTCGGTGACCGCTCGACCAACGGCACTCATGAATAATGCAAGCCTCGAACGCTCCTCGACTCACAAAACAGACGATTTCTATTCCACTCTTAAAGTACATTCATGACTCACTCGAATCAGCGGCGGCATACTTAAAACTTAAAATAAAATACAATGCTCGCGCCCCGGCGTTGCTTAACAGTAGTGACGTCATTAAAATAACCTACACATCGCTACGGTATTGTGACAGATGTTGTATGACGGCTCTCAAATACGGTTGTATGAGGCATTGAGTCCCTCACACCGAGCGGGATTCTGGGGGAGGTGTAATTACAGTGAAATACGATTTGAAAATCATCACAACAATGACTAGTGCCGCGACCGGGATTTGTCTATATTAAATTCAACGTTACATCTCTTTATATTTAGATGGTAGAAAAAAAATTACTTCAACAACATAATTTTGGATTAAAACTATATATACCTAATTAAATTTCTTTTATATTAAAACTGATATAAGATAATGCATTTGAAACTAAAAATTAGAATTAATATACATACATCATTAAAGCGTTACCCTTGTTTGTATACGTACTTCAAATATCTATTAAATTATTTGTATAATTGATGTTATTCAAATAGAAAAAGATTTAAATAAACAATGTTATGAATTCAAACAATTGCATGTTTAATACCGAGTTAAGTGCACTTAATCAACATCTCATGTACATAGTACATACTTATGATAATCATTATAACGAAGTATTATTAAGACGATACATAATTAACAACAATATATATAAAATATTCAAATTATTATGTCCATACATTTACATATTATATTTATATCGAATTAATTCGATGCCAAAAATATCTAACCTTTGTATAAATTAATATTTAATATATTAATCGTTATAATATTAAATGGTGTCAGTACATAAGTTAACAGCTAATAGTTGTTACCGGACAAGCTATCAGCGAGCTACATCGGTTACCGCGAGCACCGTGTTCATACAACTTTGATAATGGCTCATTAACGATACTGTTACGTGTTAATACGTGTACGTTATACGTTGCTTTATTATATTAACTAGCGTTAACGTGTACGGAATAACATCTGTATTCATATACAGTGACATACTAACATATTTTTTCACTTGCACTTATTTGCTATTTAGCACTATACAATATTATTTTTTAATAGACCAGTTTAAATAAAGTAATTATAACAATTCTTTTTCCTTTAACAAATCGAAATAAATTGTTTTTCAAAGAAAACAGTAACGTCATTGTGTGATATAAAAAGACGAAGTTTATTTCGTCACTAACCGTAGGAACACGTCTCCCGACCTGTTCGACAAATAAATTGAATCCACAATGTACTGAGTACAAT